CGGTATCAAAATAAGTGCTCACTGCACACGTCACTCTACTCACGCAAAACTTTAGTATAAAATAACCTTGTCGACTTATCATGTTTGAAAAAAATGTTTTTCACCCCATGGCAAAAAAATAGTCGGTCTCAAAAAAAAAGTGTTCACCGCAGTCGGTCTCAGACTAAATGAATTAATGGGGTGTTTTCTGACCATCAGAATTCTGCAAAATCTCTCCAGGGCATTTCAGAGACCAAGTAAGCGCCCCATTGAGGTAAAGTGCCCTCAGACCCAGTCCTCAAAAATTAAAAGCTCAGTTACATATCGGCGTTCAAATCCATTATGCCATCATTCTTCAACTCCTTCTCTGTCTTATACTATCTCATCACTATCATATTCACAGTTACAGTGAATCGCCCAGTTAGTAGTACCACTAGTGAGTGAGTCGTGGGTCAAAAGACTGCAGTAGAATTGTTAGTTCTACTCTCACAAAACAGGCGACATTGACAGATAGGCCTGAAGATTCTGTCCCATTTCTTATCCTCTCGTTAACGAGAATTTGGATCCATTTGCCATGACATTGACTAAAATTGTCGGGCCCAGTCCCAAAAATTAAAAGCTCGGTTACACATTTGAAATTTTTTCGCGCCTGCGGCGCTCGATTCCATTATAACATCATTCTTCCACTCTGTTGTCTTACACTGTCTCAGCACTATCATATTCACGGTTATACTGAACTGCCTAGTTACCACTGGCACTGGTGTGTGGGTCGTGGGCCGTCAGACTATACAAAAGTTCTGTCAACTCTTGCAAAACAGGCGGAATTGACAGGGGCGGATCTCGAGATTTTGTCTAATTGACTCACATTTCTGGTCCTCTCGTCCACAAGAATTTCTCCTAGCAATGACCTCAAATGCCAAGATATTGACTCAATTTTTCAAAATTTTCTCAGGTTGCTCAGTGTTATAGGCACACTTATATATTACATAAACTTTATGTCAACTTAAATAAAACTGCTTTCCAGCGAGACAACGATCGGCAAACAACTATATAATTATACAATACCATCTATGTTCTACCGGGACGCTTAATGTTATAGCCAGTATTTTGTTGACATTCATTGTGGGGTGGGATTGTGGCTGGGGTGGCGTCCTAGATTTGGACCGCCCCCCACCCCTATCTAGATCCGCTACTGCACATGGCCCCTACAAAACTCGAACCTGTGGTGCTCGGCTCCTGGCTGCGTCACACGTACTACGGGTATGGGCATCAGTCGGTCACATTTTAGCTAAACACCCCCCCCCCCCCAAACAAAATCGTAATGTACGCCCCTGCTTTGATACCCAGTCCGTATACAGATCTCGTTCGCCAGAATCGTCTGAAGTTAACATTGTGGTAACAGCACTGAGTCATCGATAAACTGTGTGAGTTTGGTCTTTCTGCTACGTATAGTAAAGGTGTAAGGACTTGCCAAAGTTGGTATTTGAGAAAAGACAGATTTTGGCAATTTCACCATATGAAAAATGTTTTTTCAATTTTCTCATACAGGAATTGAAAGATTTATCTAATATTGCATATTTATGTGTTTTGGGTCTATCCCAACTTATAAACCAAATTTGGTCAAAATCTGTGATTGAAGCCTTAGCACCTTCTGCATGGTTTTCTCACGGACACGCTCATTTTTATACGCCCACATGGAAATGTGGTCGTATATTGCCGTCGCCTCCGTCCGTATGAAATTAATATGTATCGTTTAAATTAGTAAAACGAACAAGCCTATTGAGTTTCAGCAAATTCCCGTAATTACATCTAGAGTTATAGCCCTTGTTTCACTTTGTTGAATCTTGAGAACGATCGAACAACAAAAGTTATCACTCAATCTGTATGAAATTCATATACACCATTTAAATTAGTGAAATGAAGAAGCCTATTGAATGTCAGCAATTTTCGTCAATTACTTCTAGAGTTATGCCCCTTGTTTTACTTTGTTGAGCCTTGTGAACGTTCGAACGACAACAGTTATCATCTGGTCTGTATGAAATTTATATGCATTATTTGAATTAGTAAAACGAAAAAAGCCTGTCGAATTTCAACAATTTCTGTAGATTACTTCCAGTGTTAAGGCCCTTGTTTTAGTTTTTAGAACCTTGTGAACCCTTAAACGACGAAAATTATTATGTCATCTGTATGAAATTGTCTATTAAATGCCCCTAATTACCTACAAAAGAATAAATATGCGACAACCCTTCTCGCCCGCTTGGACGATTTAGCTGCTGTGGGCGTATGTTTTGTTGCCTGGCAAACTATCTTGTTAATTAGAATCTATATTGTTTTTATTGGGACTTCTACACTTTTTTTTAAACAAAAACGACATTTTGAGGACAGACCACGTTTATTTAAACTACGGCTTAGTTTATCAACCAAGGTACTTTTCTGCATCAATGAAAACTGGCATACGCTATGCAGTGAAGGCCTACTACTATGAGGTAAATTTTGCCCAGAACGTGGCAATACGACCTACTCATATTTCACACTCCGTCGAGGGTTCCATTACGTGTTCACTTACACGGGACCAAGGTGAAATCACGCTGGAAAAGTCCGGGGTAATTTTTCAGCCAGCATGGGGGCAAAAATAAACTTCTTAGGTACAAACCAGGGTTATTTTAAACTCCGGCATAGTTTATCAAGCAAACTACTTTTCTGCACCAATGCAGTGTGCTATGAGGGAAATTTTGTCCAGTCAGCGGCTCTAAATAACACTAAAATTATGATCGTTACCTGCTAAACCTAATTTAAAATAAAATAAATAAATAAAATTATCAGCGTCATTGCCCTGAATACGGGGTAATCTATACCTGCATATGCATGCAGCACAAACCTCTAACATTCCACTCAACACAAGATAGCACATGTAATAATACGAGAAGACACACAAGGTACATGTACATGTACCACATAGAGTAAATCTCATTATCTGATAGACAGGCGGTGGAAAAGAAAAGAAAGGGTTGTTCTTTTGTGCCGGCTTAATATTTGAGTTGTCTAGAGCTTTATTTATGAAATTAATACGGTCATATCGTGGAAGTTCAAACACGGGTCTGAAGAGAATCGCTAATTTCGTGGATCCCAGAGCATTAAGATGTGTAGTACCGTGGTAAAGCTAATCTTTAATTGTGTTGTTGCTGTTTTTAAAAATAGATCTAGTATCAACACAGGTGCATTGGTTTTTTTGTAGTTTCACGTTCATCTTTTTAATGGAAATGTTGAAGTCTTCAGAAGACCGCGGTAAAAGTTCAAGAGAGTTTACCGATGCTTTGGCAAACATCTTCTTACACAAACCTATGAGTTCCATATTCTGTTCCATGCAGTCAGCTTTGCTATAATGTTCAGAGATATTATTAGAACCTATGAGGAAAGCACTTTTATGCACTAGCTCGGAAGAAGAATAACGCTTTAGAAAATTTATAACATATTTTATCTTTCCGCCCCTTATTGTTTTTATACAGGTATTTCTGCTCCTGTCAAGGCGATTTGGTTGACGATTTCGAGTCAAGGATGACCCTATCATAAGAATTTGTTTAGGCTCAATTAATTTAATTATTTGATAGTATTCAAGCCATGTTTGTTGCTGTGTTTCTATGATTCTTTCGGGCAGATGATCCATGGAAGGGTGAGAAGGATTTTGGTAGTAATTTTGTTGGGAAGGTGGTGGCATTGGCCTACTATTTAGTTTGATTTTTAAACACTCATTTTCAGCTACAAGCTCGTGTATATCTGATTGCAAACAAAAACCAACGTTGTTTTCCTCTGTAAGTTTTGAATTTAGTACTCTGAGCAATTCGTTTAAGGCAACTGAGGTGTTTAATTTGTTTTTTATAGTTTCTAGATTTTGTCTCAGGTTAGAGATAACAGTTTGAAGCTCTTCAATTTTGGAGTACGAGTTTGGAGTCTTCTGTTTGGTGACATATAACTATGCAGTTTCGAACTTCTTGTGACTGGTTTACTGGGTTTCCTTATTGTTGATCTATTAGATGGTGGAGACGAAAGGCATAGTTTTTTTTTTAACCAGATATTGTTTTAGTAAGAATATGGCACTGGTAGACGTAGTCTATTGGAGAAGTGTCATTCGTCGTAATTGGTGTTGTTGAGCTTTGTTCGTGTTTGTTGGATGGATATGTGGACGCATTTGAGTCTTTTTCATTTATATTGTTATTGTCCTTCACTGGATGATTTTGAACACTTGTATTTAATATAATAGCTCTCTCTAAGTTGATTTGCTCAAGTACAGCGGATAGATGATCGGAAAGAAAAATATTCTGGCCTATACCATTTACAAGAGCACTAGCTGTTGTGTGAAACAGATTGATAGTATTGATGTTTTCGTCGGTCGCATTTACTCTGATTATCGATGATTCACGTTGAGCATTTACATCTACTTTCTTAATTAGGTCTGTAATAGTATTGGAAAGTAGAGTAAAAAGATTCTAGGCAGCGCCTAAATTCAACACAGTAACCAGTAGCAAAGTATAGCCGAAAACCCCCGCCAGTTTCCGATATTGTAAGATCCTCATGAAACGTACCACTATTTCAGCTCATATCTCATTTCTACCATGGATTGTTTGTTATTTGTATGAGCCAATGGGTCATTTTGGTTAAACCAAACATTAAAGCGTTTTTGTAACAAAATCGAACGACCGGACACAGGAGGAGAACGGGGGGGGGGGGGTATAAATCGTGTATAATTTGGTAGGGAATACAGGTGAGATTGCGCTCGTCGAATGAACATGCTCCCTTTAATATTTTAAAATAAAATCTAAAACGGTATTTTGATTGGATTTGGGGGTTTTCTGGGGAGGGAGGTGGTGGTATTGTTTTATCATTTTTGTTGTGTAATTGTGAACATAATGTGCTACTACAGCTCATCAATTTTGCGGGTTTTAAACCAAAGTTTTCAAGACATAAATATTGTGGTCTGTATCCAGACGGATGTGAAATAGAGTTATCGAACGATATTACTATTTCCGCTTATTTCTTGACCACATTAAAACGTCGTTTACTGTTTTTATGTACTCTTTAAAAAAACGTAGGGTATATTCAGAAACAATACAAAACTGCGGAAATGCGCTGCTGTTTTTATTAGAAGTAACCAGTGTATGTTAATAACAGGCCAACGCCTGCTCATGAACATAAACAGTTCATATGGACGGCTTATCTGACGGCCCCATTTCACTCGCAAAGCGATACAGAGAGAGAGAGAGAAATGGAGTTTAACGTCTACTCAACACAAACTAGGTCATTTCGGGACTAGCACATGGTTCAATTTTATTTCAATAATGCACTTGCGCGTAGGGGTCTTTAGCAGTGGGAGGAAACCGGAGGACCCGGAGAAACCCACGAGGTTGGACAGGCGACCCTACTCCTTGTCACATACAACCAGGGAATCGAAAATTTAATAATGTTTGCAAATTGGCAATGAATGAAATTGTTTCAAAATTAAAAATCAAAGCTTTGCTTTAGTCAAGATCATCATTTCAATCAGATTACGACTAAATCTATGTGTAATTTTTTTTGTTTTTTGTGAACTGAGTATCATAAGGGCCTGACAGAATTACAGTTTAATTTACCGGTAACTTCTTTTTTATTTCAGAAATACCATTTTCCGACCTTTTGATCCTTCAAAAATACCCAAAGTGAAAGGGCCGAAGAATCGTTCATTTTCTATTAGTATTATGGCACCGTTTAACATGAGGTAAGAACAGGATTAGATGAAACTTACAGTTTCTTTTATGATTTACCTGTGAAGGGAGATAAAATCATTATACAGGCCCTATACTATATTGTTGTATTTTATTAGATCAAAATATATAGGAGCTTTTACGGGTTTCCCCTTTTGACATCATTTTAGGTCATGCGCAGGCTGTGATCTTATTCGTAGACCAAAACTCATAGACCATATTGTGTTTTTTTTTGTGAAAATACAGACGTAAGGTAAGCTTTTTTGTCCCCAGCCTTTCGAAGAAAACGGGGGACTATTAAAATGAGTTTGTCTGTCTGTCCGTCACACTTTTAGGGACACAATAACTCTCTTTCTAATTGAGCTATAATGTTCAAACTTCGTATAGGTTTTTATTAGGTCAATGGCTTGATAGAGTTCAAAGATGAGCATTTTCGGCTTAGGGTAAGCAGAGATAAGCAATTTGATTGGTTGATGCTTTGGGACACGATAACTTTAGATCTAATTGAGTGAGAGTGATGAAACTTGGTGTATAGTTTCATTACATCAATACCTTGACTAAGTTCGATAATGAGCATTTTCTGCTCAGGGTAAGCAGAGCGATAAGCAGTTTGATCGGTCGAGACATTGGAACACAATAACTCTCATTCTAATTGAGTTAGAATGTTCACACTTGGCATAGGTGTCTATAAGGTGAATGCCTTGATGGAGTTCGAAGATAAGAGTTTTCGGCTTAGGGTAAGCAGAGATAAGCAATTTGATTGGTTAATATACATGAGACACAATAACTTGAATTAAGTGAGAGTGAGGACACTTGGAGTATAGCTTTATTACATCCATACCTTGACTAACTTTGATTATGAATATTTTCTGCTGAGGGTAAGCAGAGCGATAAGCAATTTGATTGGTCGAGACTTTGGAACACAATAACTCGCCTTCTGATTGAGGTAGAATGCTTAAACTTGATGTAGGTGTTCATTAGGTGAATGCCTTGGTGGAGTTCTATGATGGAGATTGTCTGCTTACGGTAAGCAGAAATAAGCAATCTGATTGGTTGATGCTTTGAGGCACGATAACTTTGGTTATAATGAAGTGAGAGTGATGGAACTCCGAATATGGATTCATTATATCATTACCTTGACTACTTTTGATGGTGAGAATTTTCTGCTTAGGCTAATGAGCGATAAGCAATTTGATTGGTCAAGACTTTGGAACATAACAACTCTGCTTTTAATTGAGGTTGAATGTTTAAACTTGATGTAGCTGTTCATTAGGTGAAGTCTTGACTGATTTCAATGATTAACATTTCGTGCTGAAGCTAAGCAGAGCTAATCAATTTCATTGGTCAATGCTTTGGGACAAGATAATCTTGATTCTATCTGATAGAGAGTGATGAAACTTAGTGTATAGTTTGATTGCTTGATAATTTTGAAAAAAAAAAAAATGTGCGATTAATTAATGTGTGTCATCTATTTATTTTGGGATTTCGACGGGGGACATCAGCCTCACTGTTGGCTTGTTTTACACAAATTGGAACCGATCGCCATTTCTATATAGGCCTACTTGTAAGGTTTACTGACTGTTGCCAGAAACCGATATTTACAAAAACTTTGATATAGAAAAGATACGACAATCTTCTTTGATTGGCATATAGTAATTGAACATATTAACACAGGATACAATTTTATGGATACACAATTACTGAGTTTGATACTAAGCGACGTATCATTTACTTGATAAAGACGAGAGTATGCCCGTCGAAACGTCGCTTAGTATCAAACTCAGTAATTGTGTATCCATAAAATTGTATCCTGTGTTAAGATACGACAAGTTTAATAGAACCGTTGTGACAGTTTGAATTGACTCCCGGTGTGTGTTTGCTCCTGGACACTTGCGCATGTCCGAAACTGTTGTTTGCAATAACAATGAAGCTCTATCTACTTCGGTGGTGTGAGATGGTTCCTGATCACTGATCAGTTCTGGAAAAAGTATTTCCAAAGCCTATTTGGTTGAAGTTTTGTCATTAATAAACATACTTGTTATCGTGATTAGCTATTGTTTTATTGATCAGTAGTTACACGATCAACGGATCTAAGTTGATTGACTTGAAATTGATACTTCTATCGTTTGTGATTTGTTGCCGTTGCTTTTGTTTTTTTAATGATAGTCGTTACACGTACGCTCAGTGAAAGCTATACAAATTGATGATTGGCCTAAAATTGTCAATTAATTCACCTCCAAGGAATTCTCGTGGAAGCAGACGTTAAAGCACCTGGTAGTAGTAGTAATTCTGGCCTTTGTCCTATGATATCACCCGTAAAATTTTTGGAAGTGGACTTACATATTGGTAGATAATGGTGTAGAAATCGATTTGACCGTAAGCTGACTCCTACAACTGCACATGCGCTAAACGATAATCACACACTAGGTACCATCTCACACGCGTTTAGATAAAATAGTTGTTTGATGCACAGAGTAAAACTTAAGCCATTTTTATAAAATTTCCTCTTGATGGAATATGAATAACAGAAAGAATAAAACGATGATCAAGTTGAATCTGTGAATATTTTTTAAAACCCTTTTTTCATAAGCCCAAATTTTCATGTGGACGTATATTATCGTCACCCCTGTCCGTCCGTCCACACTCTACAGGTCCCAATTTTTATCCGATTTCTACGAAACTTGAAATATAGGTTTATCTCCAAAAGATCTCGGTTGCTTTCGATATTGGCATGTATCGGATCGAAACTAAATGGATTATGGCCCCTGATTGTACATGTACGTAAATCACATTTTTAGCTTGTAGACCCTATAGAGGTTACAATTGTTATCTGATTATGTTGAAATTTGAAATGTAAGTTTATAACCAAAAGATCTTGGTTTCTTTCGATATTCCCGCATATCGGACCGTAACTTCCTGAATTATGGCCCCTGATTGTACGAAAAATCACGTTTTTTAGCTTGTGGACCCTATGGAGGTCACAATTTTATTCCGATTTAAAGAAAACATTTGAATATATCACCGTTACCCCTTAATGATGGTTGAATTTGAATTTTGTGAAAATCGGACCAAAACTGACGGACAAAATGGCCGGCCTTCGTACGCAAATAGTGTAAACATCTGGTATATCAAGGTTGTGGACCCTCTAGAGGTCACAATGTCGATCCGATTTTAATGAAACTTGAAATACATGTTTATAAACCAAAGATCTTGGTTCCTGATTGTTTGAAAAATCACATTTTTAGCTTGCGGATTCTCTAGAGGTCACAATTTTGTTTCCGATTTTAAAAAACGTTTAAATATATCACCATTCCACCATAATGAAGGTTAAATTAGAATTTTGGGAAAATTGAAATGAAACTACCCAACAAAATGGCCACTCTTTGTACACTAGTTGTGTAAAAGTATGTAATATGAGGGTATCTTTATATCCCATTGGACTCTGTGCATTCTATACAGAATTATTTTTATACGCCCACATTTTCATGTGGACGTATATTGTCGTCGCCCCTGTCCGTCCGTCCACAATTGTTTGTGAACAGTCTACAGGTCACAATTTTTGTCCGATTTCAATGAAACTTGAAATATAGGTTTTTCACCCTAAGATCTCGGTTCCTTTCGATATTGGCTTGTATGGCCCCTGATTGTACGAAAAATCACGTTTTTAGCTTGTGAAGACTGTAGAGGTACCAATTTTTATCAGATTTGGTTTAAACTTGAAATGTATGCTTATAACCCAAAGATCTTGGTTCCTTTCGATATTTGCGCATATCGGAACGTGACTTCCTGAATTATGGCTCCTGATTGTACAAAAAATCGCGTTTATAGCTTGTGGACCCTATAGAGGTTAAAATTTTTATCCGATTTAAAAAAACGTATTTTTATATCACTGTTAAACCCTGAGGACGACTGAGTTCGTATTTCGTGAAAATCGGCCCAATACTGACAGATAAAATGTCCGCCAATCGTTCTCAAATAGCGTAAAAATATGGTATATCAAGGTTGTGGACCCTATAGAGGTCATTATTTTTATCCGATTTTGTTGAAACTTTAAATGTAAGTTTATAACCCAAAGATCTTGGTTCCTTTCGATATTTGCGCATATCGGAACGTAACTTCCTGAATTATGGCCCCTGATTGTACAAAAAATTGCGTTTGTAGCTTGTGGACCCTATAGAGGTTATAATTTTTATCCGATTTAAAAAAACGTATTTTTATATCCCCATTACACCCTGAGGACGACTAAGTTTGAATTTCATGAAAATCAGCCCAAAACTGACAAATAAAATGGCCGCCGTTCGTTCTCAAATAGCGTAAAAATATGGTATATCAAGGTTGTGGACCCTTTAGAGGTCACAATTTTTATCCGATTGCGTTGAAACTTGAAATGTAAGTTTATAACCTGAAGATCTCAGTTCCTTTCCATATTCGCGCATATCAGAATGTAACTTCTAGAATTATGGCCCCTGATTGTATGAAAAATTGCGTTTTTAGCTTTTGGACCCTATAGAGGTCATAATTTTTATCCGATTTAAAAAAACGTATTATTATATCACCGTTACACCCTGAGGACGACTGAGTTTGAATTTCGTGAAAATTGGCCCAAAACTGACAGACAAAATGGCCGCTGTTCGTTCTCAAATAGCGTAAAAATATGGTATATCAAGGTTGTGGACCCTATAGAGGTCACAATTTTTATCCGATTTTGTTCAAACTTGAAATGTAAGTTTATAACCCATTTATCTCGGTTCCTTTCGATATTCGCACATATCGGACTGTAACTTCATGAATTATGGCCCCTGATTGTACGAAAAATCGCGGTTTTAGCTTGTGGACCCTATAGATGTCATAAATTTTATCTGATTTAAAAAAACGTATTATTATATCCCTGTTAAACCCTAAGGACGGCTGAGTTCAAATTTCGTGAAAATCGGCCCAAAACTGACAGACAAAATGGCCGCTGTTCGTTCTCAAATAGCGTAAAAATATGGTATATCAAGGTTGTCGACCTTATAGAGGTCACAATTTTTATCTGATTTTGTTGAAACTTGAAATGTAAGTTTATCACCCAAAGATCTCTGTTCCTTTCGATTTTTGCGCATATCGGACCGTGACTTCCTGAATTATGGCCCCTGATTGTACGAAAAATCGCGTTTTTAGCTTGTGGACCCTATAGAGATCATAATGTTTATCCGATTTAAAAAACGTATTATTATATCACCATTACACCCTAAGGACGGCTGACAGACAAAATGGCCGCCGCTCTCAAATAGCTTTAAAATATGGTATATAAGGTTGTGGACCCTATAGAGGTCTCAATTTTTATCCGATTTTGTTGAAACTTGAAATATAAGTTTATAACCCAAAGATCTCGGTTCCTTTTGATATGCGCATATCAGACTGTAACTTCCTGAATTATGCCCCCTGATTGAACGAAAAATTGCGTTTTTAGTGTCTGGACCATATAGAGATCATAATTTTTATCCGATTTAAAAAAATTATATCACCGTTACACCCTAAGGGCGACCGAGTTTGAATTTCATGAAAATCGGCCCAAAACTGACAGACAAAATGGCCACCCCTCATTCTCAAATAGCGTAAAAATATGGTATATCAAGGTTGTGGACCCTATAGATGTCACAATTTTTATCCGATTATGTTGAAACTTGAAATGTAAGTTTATAACCCAAAGATCGTGGTTCCTTTCGATATTCGCGCATATCGGATATGGAATTATTTCATGACAAAATTATATTTTTGTTGTGGAAACACTGTGGTTAAGACAGTACAATTATCCTAGAGAACAGGCAAGTAAACATGTGTTAGCAGAACAGAGTTGATATTGGAGAAAAGTAAAAGACAAAGGGAGATGTGGACATTGGATAATTACAGTTTTTATACGACCACATTTCAATGAGGTCGTATATTGTCGTCGCCCCCTGTCTGTCCATCCGTCGGTGAAATGAAATGAAATGGGGTTTAACATCCTACTGTTCTGCACCTAAACTGGGCTAATGAAGACGGGCATACGCCATACAGTGTGCTATGAGGGAAATTTTGCCCGGGCAGTGGCACTATGGCCTACACTTTACTTATATGGAATTCCAACTGCCAAGGGATCTTTTACGTGCACGCCAATGTGTACACAGGACCTCAGTTTTCCATCCTATCCGAACGACTAGACAGCTTTCCGTGTCAGGTCCTCCGTCCTGCATCACTGACAAGGGGAAACCACGCCGGAAAATCCGTCCGTCGGTGCTAATGTTAATATCCGATTGACTTCAAATTTATATGCAGTGTTTAAGGTCATGAATCGATGAAGCCTATTCATTTTCACCAATGTCCGATAATTACTGCTAGAGTTATGGCCCTTGATCTCTTTGAAAAATCTTGTGGATGCTCTAGAGGCTAAAGTTAATATCCGATTGACTTTAAATTTATGTACAGTGTTTAAGATCATCAAACGAAGAAACCTATTCATTTTGAACGATTTCCGATAATTACTGCCAGAGTTATGGCCCTTGATCACTTTGAAAAATCTTGTTGATGCTTTTTAGTTTTCATCTGATTGATTTTATATTTTTACACCATGTTTTTGGCCAATATATAATCGTTTCGATTGACTTTAGATTGATACAGAGACGAACATGTATATTGAATTTCAATGATTTTTGGTAACTTGAACAGCTGAGTCCATGGTATTAAATGTTTTGTATTCTAGCATGGGCCAAACAAATTTCAATGATTTTTTTGATATTTACTTAATGCGTTGTTACTGTTAATCAGATTTTAGTGTATTATAAATGTTTTATTTCCAACAAAAGTAAAAATATGCGACAACTCATATTGACTGCCCGGACGATTTAGCTGCTGTGGGTGTATGTTTTGTTGCCTATCTTTAATTATATTGGACAGGATATTTACTTCAGATATAGTAAACGCATGACTATAATATTAAATTCCGTTTCCGATATGTCTGTTGCTAGTTTGGTGTTTTACGTTTTGCTGTCTCACCTTTCAATATTTCTATGCTAAAGAAACAGTTTCAGACGAGATAATTACCTCAGAATTTGATTATCTCCCTTTAAGTATAATAGTATATAGTTAGCCTCAATTTAATACTATTTTTGAAAGAGATTTTCAGTGTTACAAGCCCTTCTGTTGGAATAGGAGTACCTAGTGATTTTTTGTTCGCTTTTCATCAACATGTTCCCCGGTTGTACGTGACAAGGTGTTACCCGCACACTGTTAGTCTTAATAAATTAATCGACACTAAAACAACAGGAACTTATAAAGGTTTTAATAAAAATTAGAAACATATAGAATACATATAATTTTCGGTTGGGGATAGCAAGGTCAAATTCGGGTATCCGGAATTACGTGGCTTCGGGACGATTTGTGGTCGTCTCTAACTATGTAATATTAATAATTACTTACAAAACACTTCTAAAAACACTTTCTACTACCAGACATAAAGACTAAATATAAATAAAACACTGTGTTCAAACACTGTCAAAACTCTTCCTTGAGCCAGGATAATAATATCCAGTTTTCAAGGCGAAAAGGCTTATGCATGGAGTTCGTTCGTTCGTTCGTTCGTTTCTGGGGTTTTACGTCCACTTCCACCTAAGGTGATATCGTAGACAAAATGCATGGAGGCAATGAGACTCAACTTATTCATCCACTTAGTAATAAAAGGTGGGGTGAAATCCTAAACTAACAGACACAAAATAAATAAAAGAACCCATGCCTCAACTAAACCAACATGACACATGGCTTACAACATGCATAAATAATAATTTGAAAGGATAAAATATACTAAATAAGTCTTAAATTAAACATGCCTACTAATTAATAAATTCTTGATAAACAAGAAGCTAATATTATCGCCCTTGGACAAGTCTGCATGGAATCTAAAATCCAGACACGGGTACTATCCAAAAAATATGCAGAACTTTTGACACAAAGTAGGCACCACAAAACTAAGGATAGGCACGGATAGCTAGATAATTTATCTACCAGATACATATGTTAGTCCCGAAATGACCTGGTTTGTGTCGAGTGGACGTTAAACCCCATCTCTCTCTCTCTCCCATTAACATGTGGCGACAATGAAAGGCAATATGAATCATTTTGCTGCTAGGACTGCTTCCATGATGGCTGATACTGATTGTTCATTTTATTCATTATAACAATGATTTTTCTTAGTTTTAACTTCTAATTTCATTGTCTTATATATAATTTTAGGAACCAAAAGAAAGTGAACCCAAGAAATTAGGATGTTGGCAAAAGAGTGTTGGTGTGATGGGAATTAGCCAATCGAAAAAAGGTCTAGCTAAATTAATTCTGAAAAAGAAACTAAAAGTAGTATCAACACAAACATCTGTTAAATCTGAATGTTTCTCTTACTACAGCATCCAACCAATCAGAATCTGTGATACAAAATACAGCGTTTAAATCAAAACCTTTAAGTGACAATACTGTTTCTGTAAAACCTGTTAGCCAATCAGGTTCAAAAGCCGTTATTTCAGGAGTGAGCATGCTTGGATATTATTCCGATAGTTCAGGAGATAATGACTGACAGTTTTAATTCTATATATTTTAATCAGGGATATGGTTGCATGACCCATGATTTTGCATGAGGAACAAAATCCCGTCTGTACCCCACAAAACAAACTTTATGTGTGTTTGCGGGGATGGCAATCCCTCCCAGTGCCAGTGGGTAATATTGGGCTGTGTGAAACATGCTAGAGTTGATTTGTAGCATATCTTACCCACATTGTGGAAAGTATACATGCCAAATCTTACTAGAAAAAATACTGAATTACCAAAAAAACATCCATGGGACAAGCATGGGGCCAAAATGTCAAAGTATCATTAGCTGACAACCAGACCCATTGTCTGCAAGCTTATTGTCTGCTAGCTCATTGTCTGCCAGCTCTGTTTAGGGATCGATTTTTATACGCCCACATTGAAATGTGGTCGTATATTGTCGTCGCCCCTGTCCGTCCGTCCATCCGTCCATCCGTCCGTCGGTCCGGCGTCCACAATTGCTTGTGGACGCTCTAGAGGCTACAGTTAATATCCGATTGACTTTAAATTTATATACAGTGTTTAAGGCCATGAGACGAAGAAGCCTATTGATTTTCAGCGATTTCCGATAATTACTGCCAGAGTTATGGCCCTTGATCACTTCAAAAAATCTTGTGGATGCTCTAGAGGCCAAAGTTAATATCCGATTGACTTTAAATTTATACACAGTGTTTAAGGTCATGAGACGAAGAAGCCTTTTGATTTTCAGCGATTTCCGATAATTACTGCCAGAGTTATGGCCCTTGATCACTTCAAAAAATCTTGTGGACGCTCTAGAGGCCAAAGTTAATATCCGATTGACTTTAAATTTATACACAGTGTTTAAGGTCATGAGATGAAGAAGCCTATTGATTTTCGGCGATTTCCGATAATTACTGCCATAGTTATGGCCCTTGATCACTTCAAAAAATCTTGTGGACGCTCTAGAGGCCAGAGTTAATATCCGATTGACTTTAAATTTATACACAGTGTTTAAGGTCATGAGACGAAGAAGCCTATTGATTTTCAATGATTTCCGATAATTACTGCCAGAGTTATGGCCCTTGATCACTTCAAAAAATCTTGTGGATGCTCTAAAGGCTAAAGTTAATATCTGATTGACTTTAAATTTATACACAGTGTTTGAGGTCACTAGGCGAATAATCCTATTGATTTTCAAAGATTTCTGATAATTACTGCCAAAGTTATGGCCCTTGATCACTTTGAAAAATCTTGTGGACGCTCTACAGGCCAAAGTTAATATCCGATTGACTTCAGATTGATACACAGAGTTTAAGATCTTGAGACGAACAAGTATATTGATTTTCAATGAATTTTTATGACTTGGAACAGCTAAATACATGATACAGTATTAAAAGTTTTGTATACAAAAACCAAACAAATTCTAATGGTTTTCTGAGTTGTTGCTCTTAATCAGATTTTAGTGTATTATAAATGTTTCATTACCGAAAAAAGTAAAAATATGCGACAACTCTTGTTGACTGCCCGGACGATTTAGCTGCTGTGGGCGTATGTTTCGTTGCCTGGCAACCTATCTTTATTTCTTGATCGAATGGTTTTGCGGTTTTGGGAAAATTGAGGCGTGTAAACGTATAACCCACAAGAAGTTGGCTGAAAATAATTCAAGAATTTACGGTAAATGGACAAAAAGTAATGACAGATACATGCTGAAAAAGAACAACGCTAATGCTGCAATATAGGTCCACATTCCTGCTTTGATTGATTGATATGGTACTTTTTATACTCAAGAGAATGAAATATGAAATGGCTCAAACACTGTAATATGACAAGAGGCATTGAAGGCTGGGCGTTGGGTTTGTTTTGTCAAAATCTACAGACTAATTATTAACAAAGTGGGTGTGACACCGCCCCAGGGGGGCGCCGTCGGGCATGCACCAAAATAAAAAGTTGCTGTCTTTATGACATAAGGAATAAATATACCAAGTTCCAAGATGATCCATTCAGAATTGCAGCCTGTAGACGATATACACAAAAAATTGGTAAAAAATTTGCGTGGCTCTGTCCCTGGGGTATGGACATGGACCAATATAAATAGATACAACAGTATGATTAATGATGCCGAATTGGATCTTAATCTGTTAATAATTGCAAAATGTAGAATATTTACAGACAAAATATTAACAAAAAGTGGGTGTGACACCGCCCAACGCGGGGGGGGGGGGGGGGGGGATAATGCACCAAATTCAACGGTTGCCGTCTAAACTTCCAAAGTTCCAAAATAATCGAATCAGAATTATATTAGGCGTGGCTCTGCCCCTGGGGGCAAGGACATGCACCAAAATCAATACATATGCCAAGTTCGAATAAGAGGCATTAAGAAATATGGCCTGTAGGCTAAACGTAGACACGAAAAAAAAAATGGGTGTGGCTCTGCCCTTGGGGATCATAGGCATTCACCAAAAAAACAATAGGGGGCATCCTTAGGGCATAAGGTAATAGGTAAGCAAGGTTTCAAGAGATCTGTTAAGAATTGCCGCCTGTAGGTGACACACAGACACAAACAAAATTTGGGCTTGGCTCTGTCCCGATGGGTCGGGCATGCATCACAAATAAAAGAGGTCATCCCTAGGGTGAAAAGAATAAGTATGAAAGGGTTTTAACACGATCCATTAAAAATTGCGACCTGTAAGCGGCACACAGACAAACAAAATGAAAATAGACGTGGCTCTACCCCTGGGGATCGGGACATGCACCAAAATCAATAGTTACTTAGGCTCCTTTTATCCATATCTTACACAGCGCTTCTTGAATGTGTCAATGAGGTGAGATTCATAGTAGATTGTGATTACGAATTTAGTGGTTTTGGGCAGTAGAGTTGTTGAAAATAACCTGTGGCAAATAACATTGGTACTCGAATCGGGATCGTTTTACAATAATAATATTGCTTTATTCAGTAATACGATAATGCGAATCACAGATACAAAATATTTCAATATGCATATCCTAAACTATTTACATGGGAGAGTGGACTCAACATTATGGTCCTATAACAAATCGGCATAACATTGAATACATGTATTCCATTGTCAATATGCAGATATGAAATTACAATTCTTAAAAGTGTGGAATAGTGGCGCACGCATCTGGAGAATCAGGCCACCACTGTAATCGATAAATCTATATTTGGACTCACTTATCGGCATCCAATCTTCTATATAACAGCTTCAATGAATTTGTACCTGTCAAATCCCATCCACGCTTACTTCATGGTCATGGGTTTCTGTCGCTGGATTAGGCACACCGTTTGATCACAGTGGAGTTATCTCCCTTTACAAATTCATTCAAGGAGCATGTTTACATTTCAGTTGTAACTTGAGTTACATACCAAAAACCTAATCGCCCATGTCAGTTTTCATTTTTATACTGCTGTAAAAAAATAGAAATATATCGGGGAATTTACAACGAAACGGAGAATTGCTCTGTACTGATAATATGAGAAGGCATCTATTTTAAATATCATTTAAAGACGTGTCTTCTATTCACTTAATTCATTAAGCATTCGCGTATCGGTGTTAATAAATCAACGTTGATGAAATAATAATTAATATTTACAGTTTTTCGACCAGTAATAAAATTGAAGACAATTTAATTTCTGAGTTTTTTCCTAATTTATTATTATTATTTATTATTATTATTAATGTATTTATATAGCGCTGCTTTCACTAAAAGTGTTCAGTAGCGCTTTACAATAATTGCAACAAGTCGAATAAAATATAAAATGATAATATGAGACGTAAAGTGAAATATAAAATGACTGCCAAATAAAATATAAAGTTACAAACAAATAAAATGACAATTTAAATAAAATAATAAAAAAAAATGAACATGTAAATATATCACAGACTAATTAGTTAATTAAAAGCTCTTGTAAAAAGATGGGTCTTAAGCAGACGTTTAATAAGGGGTAGGGACTGACAACTGCGCATAGTGTGTGAGAGTTTATTCCAGAGTTTGGGAGAGGCGACTGAAAAGGCTTTCTCACCGTGAGACTCCAAATTAGCTTTTTTCTCAACAAGTAGATATTCATCAGAAGCAGAACGTAAACAACGACTAGGTTTATAAAATTGTAAAATATCTGACAAATAGGAAGGGCCAATATTATTTAAACATTTAAAAGTTAAAAGTAAAATCTTATTTTCTATTCTATATACAACCGGTAACCAATGTAATTTGCAGAGGACAGGTGTAATGTGGTCACGATAGGAAATGCCTGATATTAGTCTAGCAGCAGAGTTTTGAAATTTTTGAAGCTTATCAAGATGTTTAGCAGGAGTACCATAGAGTAACGAGTTAAAACAATTAATATGAGATGTAACAAGAGAATAATTAAGGTTTTGGTAGCATCAGGAGACATATATTTCTTAATTTTACATATATTACGTAGATTAAAATAACCAGTTTTACAGATATTATTAATTTGAGATTCCATAGATAATTGGGGGGGGGGGGTGGATGGCTGAATGGCTAGCGTGCGCGCGCTGTATCATAAAGTCTGTCATTGAGTCGACTGACGTGGTTTCGATTCCCCGGTTGTACGTGGCAAGGAATAGGGTCGCCTGTCCAACCTCGTGGGTTTTCTCCGGGTCCTCCGGTTTCCTCCCACTGCTGAAGACCCCTACGCGCAAGCGAATTATGTAAATAAAACTAAACCATATTATAGTCCCGAAATGACCTAGTTTGTGTCGAGTGGACGTTAAACCCCATTTCTCTCTCTCTCTCTCCATAGATAATTGACAATCAAAAATAACACCAATATTTCTATCAGATTTAGATGGATTAATGTTAGAATTACCAACTTGAACATTTATGTTAACATTTAAATACATGTCTGAAATGTTGCATACTGCGTTTCTCCGGGTCCTCTGGTTTCCTCCCACTGCTAAAGATCCCTATGCGCAAGCGAATTATTGAAATAAAAGTAAACAATATGTTAGTCCCGAAATGACCTAGTTTGTGTCGAGTGGACGTTAAAACCCATCTCTCTCTCTCTCTCTCTCTCTCTCTCTGCGTAGTCAACTAAAGAAAAGAAACAGAACATTGCCGATCAGTGGCGATGGCCAAACTCTTTTAGGTGTCGCGGGTGTACACATTGACTTGCACGTAAAATATCCCCTGGCAAGTTGAAATTCGATATAAGATTAGGCCGTAGCGCTGCTGTTCGGGCACAATTTTCCTCATAGAACACTTTATATTGGATGCCCGTCTTCTATCCCAGTCGGAGCAGAACAGTGGGACGTTAAACCCCATTTCATTTCATTCTGGGTGGGAGAATTGAAACGTCAGTGCATTTGCTTCTCATTTTTATATAAAATAAGATGGCTACGCAATGCGTACAAATATGCTCACATCTAACAAGGAAACTGTGACTTCAAAAAATCTATTCTCGTGTTCACAAGTTTGGTGAACTTATAGACAGGAATATTATATTAAAAATCTATTCTCGTGTTCACAGGTTAGGTGAACTTATAGACAGGAATATTATAGACTAGAATTGTACAAATCAAGAAGGCTCACCCTCTCATGAAACCAATGCTTCACATACTACCTCACATCCTGTCTTGCAAAATACGCCCATATTTTGCAACAAATCGACTGAGAACCCGCTAAAAAGCAGGGTTTTTTTTTTTTTAAAAAAAATCAGGAACCATAATACAGGACGTTATGCGACAATACCAAAGGATCCAAGATCTTTGGGAAATAAACACATATTCATCAACATCTGATAAAAACAGTGACCTGTAGAAGGACCACAAGCTAAAACGCGATTTTTTCATACAATCAGGGGCCCATAACCCACGAGGTTACGGTGCGGTATGCGCGAATATCAATGGGAACCGAGATCTTTGTAATATAGATATATATTTTAAGTTTCATCAAAATCCGATAAAAATTGTGACCTCTGGAGGGCTCTGCTCCTTGTTATTACATATTGTTACGTTATTTGGTATGAGGTGCGGCCATTTTGGTGGGCAGTTTCGGTCCCAGTATAGAATGGTTTACATCGATAGAAAAAAAAACATTTAAAACTGTAGTCTCTATCGCTTTCAATATGTTTTCGATAAAGGGGAGTGTTTGGCTGCTAACACCGAACGGAAAGGTTGCGTTGTGTTGAATAACAAAAAAGATAAGATTAAATTCCAAATAGGAGCAAACGAGGTCCTAATTAGGATATATGATGACCTAATTAAGAGTTGCTATCTACTAATTAGAGAGAGAGAAATTGGGTTTAACGACCACTCTACACAAACTAGGTCATTTTGGGACTAACACATGGTTCAATATTATTTCAATAATTTACTTGCGCGTAGGGCTCTTTAGCAGTGGGAGGAAACCGGAGGACCCGGAGAAAACCCACGAGGTTGGACAGGCGAACCTACTCCTTGTCACGTACAACCGGGAAATCTAAACCCCGCCAGTTGACTGAATGACAGACCGGTAGATAGAGCGCGCGTGCTAACCATTCGGCCATCCAACCCCCCATCTCCTGATTAGGAGTAGGACTTAGTTGGTAGGATTTAATCTTTTTTAATTTGGCCCTAATACGTTTCTGTGACAAATTCGTGCGTCATGGGGTATTTGAACGTCCAAATAAATGGTTAGGGCTAAAAGCTAAGGCCTATTTCAGATTTCGTCAGGGGTCGCGAGATGTAAATGGGCTAGGGAGAGGGTTTGGGCTTAGGGTCAACCTTACCCTAACCAACAATCTCGTCAATTAGGGCGCCCTAACCCTAATTACACCCCGTAACCTATGACGAAATCTGCAATGGACCTTAAGTTTTATCTTTTGCCCAAATATATCATCAAGTCACACAATTTATACATGGGAAAAATATAGCTGGTATATGGTTTATAATATTTAATGTATAAGAATAGTAACGAATTTCGGTATATTTTGTCTCATAATAGGGACGTTAGATTTGTTTGCAACATCTTTGGTCTAGGTACATATTGATTTCCTTAATTTTATAAAGTTTGTTCACTTAAAAAGGGGACTAATTTTAGCCATTACTGCGAAATAACCATCCAGTCTTTTTTTTTTTTTTTCGGGGGGGGGGGGGCTGAATATACTTGGACCCCCCCCCCCCAAAAAAAAAAAAAATTACATAGTAGGCCCAAACTCCTATTTATTTACAACATTTATTAGGATTAGTTAAGATTCTATATGTATAAAACCTGTACATATCCCAATATGGTTTACATTGCTAAAATAAAACATAGAGAGAATCATCCTGGAAACATGTGTGAAGTGAAAAGTACCTGTGTTCCATAAAATTGTGTCTAGTTAGCCTGTCAGTAATATTTTGTTAATTTTATTCTGCCACTTATCAGAGTGAATCGCATGTAGGATACCCAAAAACATAACCGCCTAAACCAAATATTTATCGCCCGCTCAGCCAGCAACGTAACCATAATGCTTTTGCACGCGGTGTCTTTGTAGACAGCATTTTATATTTTATAGGGGTTTTAAAAAATGGGTTAGGGTTAGGGTTGCGGACCCCCCACACCAATATATATTTCACGGCTACGCCTCTGGTTGTCGGGAAAACAAAGAATGTATTATGACGGTCAAGGTCATTTTGATCACATGATCTTGTTTTACTAGGAATTAATAACGAAAGTAGACTATATTCAACAGATGAGCTGCGAACGTGTGCTACGAGTCAATTCTTAATGGCTACCTAAAGTAATAATACGTCATGTGAATGAATCAACATTTGTTCGTAAGTATACTCTCGAATTTTACTGGTGGGGGTAAACTGACAGCGATATTTGTCACGGTGTTCGAAGTATTTTATATAGAGCCTTTCAGTAGGGTGCAGTCCAGACGTTTTATATACCCTGTTTTATTTGACAATCACTGTTAATACATAAATGTATTTATAAATGAAATGGCTGTTGAAATGGCTGTGACAACCTAGTCTACGTTTCCAGAATAGACAGTATAAAGTTGAATCTTTATTCGTTATGGTCAGGTATGAATCGTATGATAGGCAAAGTGGTTGACTATGGTATAAATTTGTGGAATCAGACAACAATTATTCTCATTTCTAATCAGTAGTTAGTAGCATGGAAGTATATAACGTCATACAGTATGCCATGAGCGATTGTTTTCCCAGATAGCGGTACTATGACCTACTCTTATATCGAATTCCGAGGGATCTTTTACGTGCACTCCAATGTGAATACGGGATATCAGTTTTTCATCCCATCAGAACGACTAGAAAGCTGTCCTTGCCAAGTCCTCCGTCCTGCACTTCTGACAAGGGGAAATCACACCGGACAATCCTGATGGACTTTATCGGTCAACACCGGGCGCGAACTCGAAACCTCCAGACTAGGCGTCAGCGTCTTACTCACCTAGCCACTGTGGCTCCCTAATCTCTGAAGAAGAAGATGGTTTAGATCATAACTTGATTTATGTCAATAAAGACAATCCAGGATAATTCTAACCGAACATGCCAACCTCGGGTTTGGTTCAGTTCGATATTCGCGCATATCGGACGGTGACCTCCTGGAGTTTCCTATAGAGGTCACAATTTTTATCCGATTTTTATATATATAACCATCACACACTAATGACGATTGAGTTCATATTTCGTGCAAATTGGCCGCTTCTCGTTGGAAATAAAGTAAAAGTATGCAATAACAAGGTTGTGGACCCTCTACATGTTACAATTTTTATCCGATTTTGATGTTTATATTTCAAGGATCTGTGTCCTGTTCTGCTTCTCAGATCCTAACTATCTGGATTATGGCTCTGGTTTTACGCAAAATCCCCTTTTATTTAGCTTGTTCGCTGCCCATTTCTTGCAAAATTAGACCGAATCTTGCATGTTTTCAACACTGTTTTCGGCACAAATCTGTCGTATTCAGACCCGGCGGAGTAGGGGGGGGGGGGGCAAGTACCCCTTTCTCCAGGTTGTTGCACACAAGTAACTATTCTATTAAAATCAAAAAGGCTTGAATTTAAGTGAGTAAAAGTGAAACCTCTAGAACATAGACTTTCAGAAGATGAAAACCCTGCTATTCTCTATACTGTTCCAAGGGTTAAGAGACACGCGGTTGCGAGGGTCGCGATTAGATAACTGAACGGTCGATCTTTATTTCAAGTCCATCTCATGTCTGTTGTATCTATGATGTATTAGGTAATTAGAAAAACGACGGGATAGAGTTTTATTTATACTCTTTCCTTGTGCCCCTTATCCATCAGATAATTCACTGCTATGACCAGTTGTAACAAGCGGTTGCCATGCAAGATATGCCCACATTTTGTAAGAAATGGACGGGGTAGAGGTAAAATCAAAAGGGCTATCCTATCATTTGATCCTCAACATATTTAAGGTTCGTCAGATTGGGACAACAATGGTAGCACCCCCCACACCACCTGGAGTACCTACAAAATCCGTACATATTTCAGATTTTGCGTGAAAAGCAGGGGCTATGTAAGGTCTGATGCTACGAAAGTCGAACGGTCACATTTTCAGGAAATGTGAACTCAACCGTAATTATAATTATGGTGTAACGGTGATATAATCGAATGCCTTTTAAATCGGATAAAATTGTGACCTCTAGAGGGACCACAAGCTAAAAACGCGATCTTTCGTACAATCAGGGGCTATAATCCAGAAAGTTACAATCAGATATGCGCGAATATGCGAAAGGAACCAAACATACATTTCAAGTTTCATCAAAATTGGATGTGTCCATAAGCTAAAAAATGTCATTTTTCGTACAATCAGAGGTCACAATCCATGACGTTACGGTCCAATACATGCCAATTTCGAAAGAAACCGAGATCTTTGTGAGATAGACCAATATTTCAAGTCTCGTCAATTTTAGATAAAAAAATTTGACCTGCTATAATTGAATGTTTTTTTTTACAATCAAATAAAAACTGTCACTTCTACTGGGTCCACGGTTCGTAAAATCAGGGGCCATAATCCAGGAAGTGACGGTCCTATATACGCCAATATTGAAAGGAACCGAGATCTTTCGGTAATAAACGTACATTGAAAGTTTCATCATGCATTATGCATATATTTGTCAATGTCAGCATCACAGGATGAAACCACCATAGATTGTGTTTTTATGGTAAGGGAGTTAAACATGAAATAAAATTTCACTTCATTGCTGAGTAATTTTATTAGCAAGAAATCGCCTAGAAAGCGTCTCCGACGATCTAGATTCCCAAGAGCTTCCGGGGCTAGGCTTCCGCCGGCCCTGGTGTTGGCGTATTTCCACGCTTTGCATGGCTATCGTCAAAGGATGTCTTTAAAATATGATGTGAAACATTGGGCTCTTAAAAGGACGAACGCTATCTGGATATCCAGGGTTCCGCTACCATAAGTTTCAGTGTTCCCCCTTCAGTCCCCTTTAACTTTGTTAGCGTGTAAGAGGTTAAACTATTTAACGTTTTTTGTTCTACGCCCACATCAAAAAATCTTGTGGACAACCAACAGACCGAAGTTGTAATCAGATTGAGTCAAAAATTATACACAAAGTTTATTGTCACACGAGGAATTATAACAAGTTATTACCTTGATCGATCTTATGAAATTTTAGGGGCCATAATCCATGAGGTTACGGTACTATCTCCGAATTAGGAGTTACTAAGTCCTAGGACTTAGTTGGTAAGATTTAATCTTTTTTATTTGACCCTAATGCGTTTCTGTCCTAAGTTTGAATCTGCTTTTGTCGCAGTATATCATCGCGTGACAACTTCGTGCGTCATGGGGTTGTTTTCAGAGGGATCTGAAGGAAACCTATGATACATAAATTAGTTTGAATGTATTTATTGTCTAAATAAATGGTTAGGGCTAAAAGCTTAGGCATATTGCAGATTTCGTCAGGGGTCACGAGATGTAAATAGGCTAGGGAGAGGGTTTGGGCTTAGGGTCAACCTTACCCAAACCCACAATCTCGTCAACTGCCAGGCGCCCTAACCCTAATTTCACCTCGTAACCCATGACGAAATCTGCAATGGGCATTAAGTTTTATCTTTTACCCAAATATATCATGAGTCACACAATTTATACATGGGAAAAATATAGCTGATATGGTTTGTAATATTTAAAGTATAATAATCGTAAAGCATTGTGTTTGCAACCAGTTTCGGTTTATTTTGACCCGTAATGGCACGTTAGATTTGCTTGCGATATCTTTGGTCTAAGTACATATTTATTTCCATTATTATAGAGTTTGCTCACTTGAAAAACGAGACTAATTTGAGCCATTACTGAGAAATAACCATCCAGTGTTTTTGACGACGCGTTCTTGGTTTTACCAGGATTCAATAACGAAACTAAACAGTTGTCGCGAAAACAAAGAATGTATTATGGCGGTCGAGGTTGTTTTGATCACATGATCATGTTTTTCTAGGAATTAATAACGAGCTGCGAAGTTGTGCTACGAATCAATTCTTAATCACTACCTAAAAAAAAATACGTCATGTGAATGAATCAACATTTTTTTGTAAGTATACTCTTGAATTTTACTGGTGTGGGTAAACTGACAGCGATATTTGCCGTAGTGTTCGAAGTATATACCCTGTTTTATGTGACAATAGGCCTTATGCAAGACTAATCGATTTAGGTATACGTGCATAACTGTCAATTGAAATGGCTGTGACAACCTAGTCTACGTTTCCAGAATAGACAATAGAAAGTTGAATCCTAAAGGTCCGTTCATACTACATCCGTATCCGTATCTGTAAATACGTGCGTGAATACGTACTGGTATACTTTAGTCTCTTTTAGAGACAGGGTTCAAATAGAATCCGGCACGTATTGCACACAAAAACAACTGCGTCCGTTAAGCCGGATTGATTGCTCCCAGAGCGTATTTTTGTAAAGTGCGTCCGGCATTTCGGCTAGTGAGCCGAGCTTTAGCCAATCAGCGAGTACTTTCCCCTTATTACATCATCTCCCCAAATAGAAACTCAATCTTTGACAGACAATTCAGTCTTGAAAGCCGGACATTTTCGCGTTTTCTATTTGAACGGCAAAACGCGGATACGGATGCGGGTGTGGATACGGATGCGGATACGTTTATGGATACGGATGTAGTATGAACCGAGCTTAATACTACATCCGTATCCGTATCTGTAAATACGTGCGTGAATACTACTGGTATACTTTAGTCATTTTTAGAGAAAGGGTTCAAATAGAATCCGGCACGTATTGCGCACAAAACAACTGCGTCCGTTAAGCCGGATTAATTGCTCCCAGAGCGTTTTTTTTGTAAAATGCGTCCGCATTTCGGCTAGTGAGCCGAGCTTTAGCCAATCAGCGAGTACTTTCCCCTTATTACATCATCTCCCCAAATAGAAACTCCATCTCTGACAGACAATTCAGCCTTGAAAGCCGGACGTTTTCACGTTTTCTATTTGAACGGCAAAACGCGGATACGGATGCGGGTGCGGATACGGATACGGATGTAGTATGAACCGAGCTTTATTCGTTATGTGCTGCCTCGTTATTCGTGTACGCCATTTAAGAACGAGTCCACGACAGAAACTTACAAAAATTGAAAAATAAAATCGATAACTCTTGAGGTCAGCAATTTTCAATCATACTTGGGCTATGGGGAGCCCTAGGCGACAAAGGTCACACGATGCAGTGAAACTGTTTGAAAATGACAACTTCAAATATATAACTGAAAATTGTTGTTTTGGTCAAAATTTGTCATGTTTTGATCATGTTTTTACCATAATTTCAACTCGAAATGTTGTGACTCTAACACAATATAGGACTTCCATCCGGCGCAAGGCTGCGTGTAAACCCCTTCTTTGACAAAAATACGTGTGCATACAAACTGTCTTGGATTTCGAGAAACGAAATGCATTGTGATTTTTCCATTGCTGAAGAGAATTCAGACAAAACTGGTATTAATGTTAATACAGAAAAGTGTACGAAATAATATACGTCCCCTGAGAACCCCCATTTACCCAGGAAATGGATCAGGGGAAATTAATCACAAGCGTACCGTAAACGACCCATTTCTAATAATTTACACAAAAACAAATATACGGACAAGACATATATTACGCAGAAATCACAAACAAACGCACAATTCAAATAAAGTGAATGTATCCGGGGGCTAGCTGTAAGCATCCACTGCGCTGTACGAAGATTGGTAAGCGACCCCACAGACCGAGGTTATTAATGTCGTACACGATACCAGTTTTCCATGTGATATCATAAATGTTCTCCAGATAAGAAAGTACAGCAAATAAGTGTTATTTCTGGATGAAACTATCCCTGACATTCGTTTTAAAATGATCAAGAGTGCTTCCTTCCGAGGTCAGATCTATGATGTCCTATAATTGAATAATCCTAAATTTAGTGATTATTTAGAATTCAATTCATATATCCTGGTGAGCTCGAAATTAAAAATACTATAACTGACAGTGACAGTTACGCTTCCTACATGGATCTGCGTCTCGATTTTGACAATTACCATCAATTAAGTGTTAAATTATACGATAAACGTGATGACTTCGACTTTCCTATTGTCAACTTTCCATTTATTAGTAGTAACATTCCACTATCACAAGCATTATGCATATGGACAGGACATTTGCTGATTACGCTATATTACCACTATTTCGTCTAATGGTTTGGATGCAGCTATGGCAAGCACTCTTCCGGACACCTGTTACCACTGTTCATCTTGTATGTGTACACGGTGAACAGTCAGTCCTTTTCTGATTACACTATTTCGCCGATACCGTTTTTTTATGACTTTGAATTTTGTCTAATGGTTTTGATGGTTCGTACTCTGTTATATTTATTTATCCACATATAAGGTCTGTAAATGAGGTTGTTTGACTTAAGGTTCCAAATTAGTCTTTGATTGATCAGCCGGTCTCTATGCGTTTGCAAATATAGCTAGTTTCAGAGATCTGGCGATAATTGGTAGGATTCACAGGATAATTAACAGGGTTAGGGATAGGAATTATAGTGGCTTAAATGGTGGAATCTTAAAAGAGGCAAAGGGATGCGTAAATCAACTTAACATGTTAGTTTTCTCAAATTAAAGAAATAGTTTGCAAACAAAAGTAAATTATTCAAGTTATCTAGAAAAACATCATCACAAAATAAACACACATTATGCAAGAGCTAAATCTGCCTATTGCAGGTCTTTCTTTAGACCTTAAATGTTATCCAAATTATTAATTAGACATTAATTTACTTATCCAGACCATAACCAACTCTCGGTGTCATCGCTAGCCTGTGATATTTACTGGATTATGATCCGATTTGCTGCTCAACTTTCATTCATGATTTAATCATGAAATGGATAATCGAGACTATGTTTTTATCGTACCGACTTTAGTAATGATGATCGAGGCTAGGCCGAAATTTCAATTGCTTAATTCTTGGGTCATAGTTGATCAATTTGACTGAAATTTTCAGCAAATTTCTTTTACATTATCTAGTTATTAACTATTAATATAGTGAGAACTGCCAGCTCTTTATCTCCCACAACGTATCCTTAAGTGATAAAGAAGTGATGGTGCCCTGTTTTATTCTGAGTCAGTTACTAAATACCGCGTAAATAATTTAACAGTATATTTCAGATATACACAATCAATTCGGTTAATGTTTTTAGTGTGGGGATTGACTAAAAGTTAATTTGTTTCAGTTCTAAACAAAAACTTAAAACTTTAACGCAATTTTAAAAAAAATAGCCAAATTCTGGCTGGGATTACTGAGCAAAATGGCCATTCACTGTATACGTGCGAAAAAGAAGCCAGCTACCATTTGATTTTCGTACGTTAGTTACGTACGGCAGACAACCTCAAGCGTGTAATGTACCTGTAGCAGAGAAGGGAGCAGATACATTGTTAGATACAATTGATAAAGAAATTCATGGTTCTGAAAAGGCCGGACCTAAACTGTCATCTAAATTAGCCTCTTCGGTAAACAGTCGGTTTACTGAAAAAAACAACTGATGACATATTGCAGAAAACATTGGAGAAATATCCTACATCTGGTTATTGTCCGAACCTGTCTGTTCCCACAGTAAATGGGGAGATCTGGGCAAAGTTGGGCAATCCAACAAAAAAGCAAGATTTACGTTTGGCTAATATTCAAAAATCATTGGTTAAAGCGGCTATATATAGCAATATCCCGGGGGCCTCATCTAAAAAGAACAAAACATGGGGCTGACACGCTCAATGCACCTAACAAAGTTAGGGACAGCATGTCATGAACTGTCTGTAAAAAGACGAGGCTTAATTAAACCAACTTTGAATAAAGAATTTGTAGCACTCTGTTATACTCAAGTACCAGTTACAAGTGATCATTTGTTCAGTGATGATTTACAAAAACATCTGAAAGAAATCCAAGACTCAAACAAACTTGGCTAAAAAATGTCAGCAGCCACAAGTCGTAGAGACCATTATGCCAATCGTTCTCTACTTACAGCAAGAGGTATAATAATAGCTCTGGTCATTTTTTAGACCGCCGCCTTCGAAACAAATTTCGGCAGAAAAACAGCTACAAACAAAGTCGGTATCGTCAGAAATTGTTTCATCTGTAGCTGATACTCGCTTGAATTTGGTAAGAAAATTTGAAGACTCCTGTGGGCAATTAAAAATTAGACTCTTAGAGAAAGCAGAGAAGTTTCAAGCTGGCAGATTAAAATCTCATTTTATATTTTGGCAAGAATTAGATTCAGATAGAGTGATTCTAGAAATGATTGCAGGAGTTACTGTTCCTTTTTTGAATGAAACGAAGCAAGTTAAAAATCCGCTCATGAAGTGAAAGTGAAATAGATAAATTACTTGCTAAAGCTGTAATTATTTTAACAGAGAAAGAGACAAATTATTACAATTCTCCAATATTTGTTACTCAGAAAAAATATCTTTCATAATTCAATGATTCTTAATTTGACAGACTTAAACAAAAATATTGAATATATTCATTTTAAATTGGACACATTTAATTCTGTCCTGAAGTTAATTCTGCCCAATCTTTTATGGCATCTATGAAAGATAACATCTGGTTCTAACACGACCATGGAGATGGAGAAAAAGATTCTGGAAGCCGTCACAAATTTATTTAATATACCATTTTGAAAGCATCAACGTGTTCCTTCCTCCAACCAAGTTTCACCTTGATACTTCAAATACTAACGGAGATACGTCATCTTGAATATCGAAAAAATGCTGATAAAACGCAAATCTTTGATGCTAATTCTAATCTAACGAACTTCCGAAATTCGAAAAACAGTTGGATTCGTCCAAAGAATCCAACAATGAAAAATCGCCAAAATTATTTTGATAAAAATGAAATATCCGAAGACTCACACTGTAGTCGAATCTATCCAAAAAGACACAATATATCAAGCTGTCCAAATCTATATGAATACAATCAAAGATGTGTTTGTGTGTGTGTGGGTGTGTGTGTGTGTGGGGGGGGGGGTGGGTGTGTGTGTGTGTTCGCCTATCACGCTTCGTCACCGCGATCCACCCTAACGTATATGGTATCAAATTAACCAACATGACCCCATGAATGTTTTAGCCCATTTTATGCTACAGAAGCCGGGTATACAGCTAGTTAGGGAATAATCCCAGCTGATTTACAAGACAATATACATGCTCGTCTCTCTATAGGCTATTAAGAAATTAGAATCTTTGTGGGTCTATTATCCATTATTTCCGAATTAGGCATGCATATTTCTGGAATATTTAAACCAATCAAATAATTAATGAATCACTCATCCCAGAAATCAGGCCTATGAAAGAGACCAGTGAGCGCGAGTTGGAATCAGAAACCATTCGGCATTTCTATAGGTGCAGTATGTAATATTATCCATTATTTCCGAATTAGGCATGCATATTTCTGGAATATTTAAACCAATCAAATAATTAATGAATCACTCATCCCAGAAATCAGGCCTATGAAAGAGACCAGTGAGCGCGAGTTAGAATCAGAAACCATTCGGCATTTCTAGAGGTGCAGTATGTAATATTTTTAGAAGTTAGCCGCGCTGGCTAGAGCCTGCTGAGTGTGTTGAAGGATACCTGCACTTATGCTTATGCTTATATTTGTTATGTCACAGCTGTTATAAACTGCTGCATCTGAAATGTTGCATGCACAATAAAACAAATTATTTTAAAGAACACTGATTTTCATCATAATGGAGGTTTTCTTAAATTTATATAGAGTCCGGGGAGAGGTCCAAATTTCACGGCTCTCCTGTCTTATTCTGAGTTTGTTACAAAATACCGCGTAAACAATTTAACATTACTATAATCACGGATTCTTGAAAGTGTTTTCCACTAGGTCTTTAGCAATTATATTTCAGTTTCAATATGAAGTGTCAAACCCATATTGTCACTATGATGCGCTGAATCCAAAATTTTATTATGACCGAAATGTGGCAAGAAGACGGATACTAATAACATATTATTATTTATATTTCAGTCTCAATATGAAGTGTAAAAACCCAAAGTGTCTCTTTGTTCTGGATCCAAGTTTTTCATTCTGCCCGAAATGTTCCCTGGGGACGGATAATAAAGACATTACAGTACCAAACTCTCATGTTCCAGGTATGTTCTTCATTAGGATACTTCTGATTTGTAGTAGTGTACAAAATCATCACGACATTAACCACACATATCTTTTGAAGTAGACATGGGATAAATTACATAACAATATCCAGAAAGCGAAACTTTGACCTTCAAAATGTATGCAGCAAAATGCAATTCAATGACAATTTCCATGTCCCTCCATCTTGGATTTACTCTTTGCAATCAATCTGGCGTGATATTTTTACAATTATAGGTAGTTATAATGTAATACTATAGGGTTATTTTAGTTCTATGAAAGGTGCTCTGTTTAATATATTGAAGTGATTAAACAAATGGGTGACAACGACAAATGGGCTAAGTAGGTATTTTGCAAGATTTAAGTTTCTTAGACTAACTCACAGACATGTTCTGCCATCATCAATTGCTGAAAGTAGGGTACTGTCGTCCAGTCATCTCGTACACAGATTAGTACAATTAACTAGAATAGTGTTGACGTAACACGGTGCTCATAAGAAACACCTACCCAAATATTGTAATTGTCCCGCCCTTATAGCTGATGACGCATCTATACTTTATATATAGGAAAAAGCAGGTTAAATGTCCCCCTCAGACATCATTCGGAGTTCAGGGGTACATCATACCCACAACCTTCTCGACTTAGAGCAAGGATGCCGACATCATGCGGGATTCTTAGAAGAAATAGAGACTATATGTAGTGTTTCAGCGGTTAGGTCTGAGTGCTAGACTTGTTAAACTCAGACTGTAGATATTATAATAACTCCTAATGTACTATCATAGATGTTGTAGTTTCCTGTATTTGACATATAAACATAGTTTTAAACCAACAAAGTGTTCCAGAGTTAATTGATCATATGCAAAACGTCAAGTCAAAAGTTAATTCTAAATTGATCATAATGTTACCCTAATATCACAGGCCGTTTTCTGGAAAATGCTGATTAAAGTCACATCTAGTTTAAGTTTAAACAATATTTTATTCAATAAACTGAACTGGATTGAGCAACAGGCAAAGGCCTATATAAGTTCTCTCCAAACATATAAAACAGTTATATCTTATGTTTACAATAGACAATGGTGGACATATGTATAGACAGTGAGTTACAGACATATATACATTTCTTGGAGTCTAATCGTAGGGTATAACATTTTCATTTTAGATTATGAAATTTATATAAGATAAAAAGTATTGCATATTGTAAATAAAATATTAAATGTTAAAGTGTTAAAATCTCTTGCTATCTTTAATGTATTTTTGCACTATGTTAAATATGTTAAAATTGGTATTATCTGAAAGATCGGGGTTGTCATATAAGATTAGGTTAATTGTGACATTTTTTTTGAGGTGGTGTAAATTATTTTGGAGAATTTTTCTTTGGGCAGAGTAGGCTGGGCATATGAAAAAATAATGGTAGTTATCTTCGTCTGTAGAATTACATCTAGGGCACATCTTTGTTTCACTAATAAAATGGTAGAATAAATCGTTATTTAAATTACTAGCTTTATTTCTTAATTGGCAATGGATAATATTTTCTTTCCTATTTCCAGTATTATAATATAATGGTGGTCTAAGTAATGGGTATACACGTGAAAGGCCCGATTTAAATGTGCTTAACGTTTGTGAGGTTTTAATGTTTTCCGGTAAAGTTTAATTGTGCAGGGAAAGAAACTATTTGAATACGATTTGGTTTTACAGAATGGTGGATTGAGGTTCTGATTTTTATTACGAAGATTATAAATTGGTACTAAAGATTCAAATTTTTTAAACATTTCAATCAGATAAGTTGGGGCTAGGTTGTTCTTTATTTTATATAAGTAAATCAATTTGTGTTTTATTCTACGATTAGACAGCGCCCCCCCCCCCCCCCCATGCTCTTTGTATAAATTGTTTTTAGTTAGTATTCTACCTGCTTCAGTTTGAACACTTTCCAATAGATCAGAATCCTTTTTTGAACAGTTATCCCATACAATATCAACATATTCTAAAATCGGGCGAATAAAAGCAAGATAAATTTTATTAAGTGAAATTCTATTAATTTTATATTTCAGTATGCGCAAAATATTTAGTCGACCACAAGCTTTCTGGTATATATTTGAAATGTGTTTTGACCATAGTGCATTTGACTGAAATGTTAATCCCAAATGACAATGAGTGTTTAAGTTTTCAACTTTTATGTATTGTTTAATGGTCGAGAGCGAGACATTAAGTAATATATTGTAACAACATGAGGGCCGTAGGCCCGAATGTTTTTACAATATATTACGCAATGTCGTAAGCTCGAGACCATTAAACATCTTAAAATACTGACACTCCGCACGAGCTTTTACGTCACATTAGTCCAATATCTCACTGGTTTGAATAAAGTACTATTGGCAAGTTGCCCGTACGATTATTTGAAATAATGGTACGCCAACATCAAAGGGTGACGTCACATCTGTATTTTAAATTTATATAAAGGACAATGAGTGTTTACGTTTTCAACTTTTATATTTCCGAAAACAACGTCTGGATGGGTTGTATTTTTTCTAGGAAAAGTAATCTTTTTAGTTTTATTGGTGTTGAAAGTTACACACCACTGTTTAGCCCACGATGAGACAATATCCAGGTCTTAAGTTATAGAATTCGAGCTACTTAAAGGATCATTAGGAATAATTGTAAAAAGTGAAGTATCATTGGCAAATAGTCGTATGCTGTTAGAAAATATTATATCCTTTTACGGTAAGCACCCTTTTAATATATATAAGTAAAATTCAATTATTAGAGAAAAAACACTAAAAATTAAAATTTTGGCTAGTACTTACATCGTTATCAAACGAATCGTCAGGCCATTTTAATGTTTAACTCAGAGTGGCAGTGTGAAGTTGAATCGATTTTCGTTATTCGTTATTCGTTATTCACCAATAACGAATAACGAGGTGACTTGCCTCGTTATTGGCGAATAACGAGGTACAAGCTACCTCGTTATTCGTTATTCGTTATTCAACTTTCTATTCGGGATTCAAATATGCAGCTAGCCATGACTAGAATGATGGATGCCAAGTATCCCCCAGTAGTATAAAACACAGCAAAACGACCTCTAGACGAAAACAATCCACATTGTTATTCAAGCAGCGAATAACGAGCTGTTTGTTATTCAAGTGGTGAATAACGAATAACGATTAACGAGCTGTTTGATATTCGTTTTTCACCTCGTTATTCGGGATTCACTTATAGTGTTCATGTATCTTTAATGAACATATTTTAGGATTTAATTCTAAACGATCATAAGACAACTATAGAATAATGGATTGCAAAGTATCCCCTAGCAGTAGAAAACATATTTAATGACGTATAGTCGGTAAATAAACCAGATTGTTATTCAAGCGGTGAATAACGAATAACGAATAACGAGCTGTTTGTTATTCGTAATTCACCTCATTATTCGGGATTCACATATGAAGCGGTGAATAACGAATAACGAGCTGTTTGTTATTCGTTTTTCACCTCGTTATTCGGGATTCACATATAAGGTGTTCATGTATCTTTAATGAAGATATTTCAGGATTTAATTCTAAACGATCATTAGACAACAATACAATAATGGATTGCAAAGTATCCCCTAGCAGTAGAAAACATATGAAATTACGTATAGTCGGTAAATAAACCGGATTGTTATTCAAGCGGTGAATAACGAATAACGAGCTGTTTGTTATTCGTTTTTCACATTCAAGCGGTGAATAACGAATAACGAATAACGAGCTGTTTGTTATTCGTTATTCACCTCATTATTCGGGATTCACATATGAAGCGGTGAATAACGAATAACGAGCTGTTTGTTATTCGTTTTCACCTCGTTATTCGGGATTCACATATGAAGGTGTTCATGTATCTTTAATGACGATATTTCAATATTTAATTCTAAACAATCATTAGAAAAAAATAGAATAATGGATTGCAAAGTATCCCCTAGCAGTAGAAAACATATTAAATGACGTATAGTCGGTAAATAAACCAGATTGTTATTCAAGCGGTGAATAACGAATAACGAGCTGTTTGTTATTCGTTTTTCACCTCGTTATTCGGGATTCACATATAAGGTGTTCATGTATCTTTAATGAAGATATTTCAGGATTTAATTCTAAACGATCATTAGACAACAATAGAATAATGGATTACAAAGTATCCCCTAGCAGTAGAAAATATAATTAATGAGGTATAGTCGGTAAATAAACCAGTTAGATCGTTTTATATATTAAATATTTGATATTTATGTAATAATATTACATTATCCTTAAGCATTTTGCTGTTCTGCACTCGGTGTCTAATCTGTTCTGCACTCGGTGTCTAGACGGAATTGATAATTAAGTTATTTGTAGATTTTGATGGTTTCAAAAATATCTCATAATTCATATCTTAACTGTTATTACCTCAAACAATTTTTTTCTACCTTGATTGATTATTATTCAGTATTTTTATGAAGCTCTAGTTTGATCGTATTTGAATAAAATTATGCATCCAAAACCCTATTTATGTCTGGGGTCTTAGATTACCCTTTGTCGCCGACAAAGTTTCTCGCGCGACATGTTCTCACAAAGGTTAAGGGGTGTAGGTTGAACGTTTGTGGTTAGTAATAACACCCGCGAAAACAAAAAAAGAGAGCAAAATAAGGAAAGTGAGTTGCCGGTCATCATGAAACTTACGTTGGTTATTGTTAAATGCTAACTGACAAATACTCTACTAGAAGGTCTTGGATTCGCCCTCGGGGTTGGCCGAGAATGTTTATTTTAGGATACAGGAACTCCTAGGGGTATTAAGGATATAAAGATCACATGCCAACTTGCTGTTCTGTTAACCTCAAACATATTGTGCATGAATTGGAAAAAATATACTGGTCCATGATTCGACACGAAGACTCCATGGGGCAGATTCTGAAACCAGAACAAATCTCTCATCTATATTTAGTCCGACATTTTAACGGTTCAAACTTTCGATTGGTTGACATTGATTTAACATTTATGACAAGGTTTAGGGGCTTTTGTGTGGAATTTGTGACAGCAAGAGTTCCACAAAATAAATGACAGACGTTCTATGGAAGACCATACAGCTATTTATTTAGTGTTCTTAGTCCTTATTTCCTAATTCGTAGTCCTTAATTCTTCATTTGTTGTCGTATTTCGACATTTGTACACTAAAATTAACATTTGAATCTTAAAATCAATATTTGTTTTACAAATCAGACATTTGTCATACCAGATTTTTAAAATGTATTTTAATTGTAATTTACCATAAAGATAAAATTTATTTTAGAAAATCAAAAATAAGCCTATATTTACATTTCATCAAATCTGGAAAAAACAAATTTCTAAATACAAATCTTGCTAAACATTTCTCCAAAAACATTCCTTCATTAACATGTCTCCAATAATATTTCACGAAACTGGAATATTATGACGACTTGAGCGGAAATCAACCTGGCATACAATAAGTCACCATACAATAAAGGAGAATCGAGCAGGCATATATACATGTATATACAATAAGGAAAATCGCTGGATGACCGCGACTCTAGTGAAACCACGTGCGTAGTATGGCTAATCGGGCCGGGCCTTCGAGACAGAAAATGAATTGAAAGTAGTCTTTTTCTGAAATTTGTGTTTTAGTATGTGGTGTTTTTGTTTACCACAAGAGTTCTCAAGATCTTTGACTTATAAAAGTAATAAATTTTTCAAAAATATCTTCTCAGACAACAGTTTCGGCTACACACTATCTATTCATATTAGGCAATCTGAAACCTTAGGTTCTCTCTGTAAACCTTGTTAACACGACGGGTACTTCAGTTTCTAAAGGAGTGAAACTGTTTCTATTAATTAGGTGCACAAAGTGAGTATGGTTTTTTAGACTAATTCTCCTCTTAGAAGGATCGTGTATCAATTTTAGGTAGTTCTGTTCTTGGTATTCGTTGGTGTTCCAAATGTCCAAATAGCAGAGCCAAATAAAAAAAAAACAATATTTGAAAAAATATAGTGCATATATATTGTAATCCTCCTACAGTAACGATTATAATTTAATTATATTCCAGTAGAAGTAACAAGTCCTGATGTATCCAACCCACCGTCATCTGACGTTACCACCAGTCCCGTTGAAATAGAAGTATCTAACTATGGTTTATCCAATCCACCGTCAGCTGAGGTTAACACCAGTTCCGTTGTAAGAGAAGTAACTAACTCTGGTGTATCCAACCCACCGTCATCTGACGTTCCCACCAGTTCCGTTGAAAGAGAGCTATCTAGCTCTGGTGTATCCAACCCACCGTCACCTGTTGTTACCACCAGATCCATTGAAACAGAGGTAATTAACTCTGGTGTATCCGACCCACCGCCATTTAACGTCCCCACCAGGTCCGTTGAAAGAGAAGTAACTATCTCTGGTGTACCCAACCCACCGTCATCTGACATTACCATCAGTTCCGTTGCAAAAGAGGTATCTAGCTCTGGTGTATCCAACCCACCGTCACCTAAGGTTACCACCAGTTCCGTTGAAAGAGAAGTAACTAACCCTGATGTATCCAACCCACCGTCATCTGACATTACCACCAGTTCCGTTGCAAAAGAGGTATCTATCTCTGGTGTATCCAACCCACTGTCACCTGTTGTTACCACCAGATCCATTGAAACAGAGGTAATTAACTCTGGTGTATCCAACCCACCGTCATTTAACGTTCCCACCAGGTCCGTTGAAAGAGAAGTAACTATCTCTGGTGTATCCAACCCACCGTCATCTGACATGTCCACCAGTTCCGTTGCAAAAGAGGTATCTAGCTCTGGTGTATCCAACCCACCGTCACCTGAGGTTACCACCAGTTCCGTTGAAAGAGAAGTAACTAACCCTGATGTATCCAACCCACCGTCAGCTGACGTTCCCACCAGTTCCGTTGAAAGAGAAGTAACTAACTCTGGTGTATCCAACCCACCGTCATCTGACGTTCCCACCAGTTTTGTTGAAAGAGAGCTATCTAGCTCTGGTGTATCCAACCCACCGTCACCTGTTGTTGCCACCAGATCCATTGAAACAGAGGTAATTAACTCTGGTGTATCCAACCAACCGTCATCTGACGTTACCACCAGTTCCGTTGAAAGAGAAGTAACTTACCCTGGTGTATCCAACCCACCGTCATCTGACGTTACCACCAGTTCCAATGCAAAAGAGGATGCTAACCTTGGTGTATTGATCCCATCGTCATCTGAGGTTACAAACAGTTCCAATGAAAATGAAATACAACAAGATACGAAAGAAGCCCCAAAAAGTGAAAAATTAAGTTCTTCTAAAACACCAACTTATATGAAGGAAACGGGAGCAACTGAAACCGGTAATTATAATATTTAGTCTTATAGAATAATATAGTTATTTGTTTTACATTTGTTTTTAGTTTCACTTTGATCGTCTGGAATAAGAATTACGTTTAGCAAGGATCTGTTTGTTGCGGTAACTCTAGTTGATGTATGAATAATATTTTTCAGATAGTTTGTCAACAACAAATCATCGAGTTGATCATTGTCTATACATAAAATATCAAAAGTGAGATCACTGTCTATGACCCCAATTTAAGTCAGTTCGGTTGATGATTCTAAAAGTAAAAAAAATTTGATTGATGTGATCTGCGATCTGGCTACCACTAGGATTTCATCTTTTAGTTCCACTTCAACCCAAATTCACCGTTCAGAAATTCTAAGTCTTATCTTCAATCTAGTTTGTCCCCAGTGCTTTGTGCATTCAGATGAAATATTGACAGATAATCCTTTGATGAATGAATTGAGCGGGAGTTTAGCTTGATGTAGCCAGATCTGATAAGCGGTGTGAAAATAATACGCTGAAGAGACTAATGTTGGATAAATAAATCAGTCTGTATAGTATAGTATCCAATCTAAACCCCACACGCCCCATTCTCTAGATCAATATAATGTTTGTTCCTACTTGTCTGGAATTCACCTTGTTACTTTGAAATAAAATCTAGTTGTACCTACCCTCACCCCGATTAGAGATTCTTCTACGCCCCAACAACCTATCATTCATACCCACGACACAATTCTAAATATTGCAAGTTTGTTAATTTGTTTCAATGTTAATAATAACAATAATATATTTTTGATAAGGCGATCGACGTACCTTAAACCAAATCTGAAATCGCTGTACAAACATAAAATTTAACTATAAATATTATACATTTACCTTAAGATTATTAAAAATGGTAAAAAGCAACCATAAGTTAAGGCTTTGTACACATATAACGAATTGGGCTTTAAAAATATTCCTTTACAATTGTAAACGAATCTAATTATATATCTTCTCAATATCTTATTCCCTCTACATTTGGTAACAGTTGGTGTTGTTCAATAAGCGACTAGTCCTTCCATTTACAATTAGTAATTTTAATATGCTTTTATAAAATGTTCTTTATTTGAAATCATTTTACACAAGTATTGAATTTACTTGAATTTTCAGATGAAAGTACACCTGAGAACAATACTCTCAAACATATAGAGTATAAAGAACACGCCAATACAATGACGGTAAGATGATAATACATTATAACTATAACCTGTTTTGGTCAAGGTACTCTTACGTATGATTACTGGATTTATAGAGTGTGGACGTATTACATTACATGTATGTCGTCACCTGTCAACCTTCAAATGGGCTACAGTTTAAATAGATTTTTTTACTCAAATTTGATGCTTAATATTGTATTCTTGAAAGAACGAATCTCGTCGAAATTCATCGTTCTAGACATCCCGTTCCAGAGTTACGATCCCTTGTCCCGAAAACCTGATGTTCGCGAAAGAGGCTACAGTTTTACCAGTGTTATGTCGTGTGAAGCAGTAGTTTCATGCGAGGACTAAACCTTATGTTTATTTCTGCGACTTTCTATTCTGGGGTTATCCCCATCTCCCGTTTCTGTAAACCGTGGGAACACGGTACAGACTGTAGTTTGGGTAAACCTTTAGACTATATACCTTTGAAATTTTACACTGAAAATTGAGAAGCCAATAATTGCGTTGATTGCCTTCGGTCACATCTTGTTGACCCTCGTTAGTGTCTTGATATTGATCTATACCTTCGACAGAATACATATGCGACAACTTTTCTGACTGCATGGGCGATTTCGGTGCTGTTGGCGAAAGTTTCTGTGTCTATTTACCTATATTATGTAGAAATTTGCAATTTTATCTGTCACTTTTCGGATTACATATGCCAATAATCTAGCCACCACTAACTAGCAGCAAATCATTCATAGTTGTAAGTTGCTTGATAATTTTCAAATTATTTGTTTTTAAAGGAACAAGCCACTGGCGGAACTGAGTAAGTAACCACATCATCATTTTTATATGCCCATATTTCAATAGGAACTATTATTACGTTACCCTTTCGGACTGATGTCCTTCAAAAAGTTGGCTTGGGAATGCCATAGAGACTATAGAATTTAATGAGCAAAGAAATGTGTCGCTATCAGACAAAACCTAATTTCTGAAAATAGACTACTTTCAATTTATTTTCCTTCTCAAAGGCACGGCCCGATAAGGCCATACTGCGCACGTAGTTTCACTAGGGTCTTGAACTAGTGATTGACCGTGAACATTCGGTGTGGTGAGATAAGCTTTTAATAGAGCAAATTTTGAAATGAAATGAAACGAAATGGGGTTTAACGTCCTACTGTTCTGCTCCTATACTGGGCTAATGAAGACGGGTATACACCATACAGTGTGCTATGATGGAAATTTTGCCCGGGCAGCGGCACTATCGCCTACTATCGAATTCCAACTCCCAAGGGATCTTTTACGTGCATTCCAATGTATACACGGGATGAACTTTCTCGGCCAATGCAGGGATCGAACACCCGACCTCCAGGCTAGCGAGCCAGCGTCTTACCCACTAAGCCACGTGATCCCCCAGCAAATTTTGACTGCGTGGGCCTCCTACCTCTGTGAATTAATTCAACAGTATATTTTGTGACTTCTTAGTCAACATTTAAATCTCGATTAAATCTCATCCTGTTAAACTTCACTACAAAAATTGACTAAAAAATTAGAACCACATGTACTCTTATGTGTTTTCATGAGCGCCATGGTCCTGTTTTGTGGATAAATGAATGTTATTATTATTATTATTATTATTATTATTATTTAGTTATTGTAAACCAGCAAAACAGTATATGTCGTCATTGTTTTGGGCCTCTCTGCTATGATCTTTCTTTTGCAGATTGCTGATACAAGTTATATTTCATGTGTTAGTATCTTTACATGAAATATGATCTTTCTTTTGCAGATTGCTGATACAAGTTATATTTCATGTATTAGTATCTAATGATTTTCATCTAGATCCAAAGAAAGGCCACTATGTCTACATTGCCTGTGAGCCCTTGGAATTAGGTGGATTTGATTCCACCAAGAACAAGATGACTCTCGTGAAGCACAGCAGGTAGGTGTGCAACTGTCCAATCTACTTTATTCACTGTCGTTGTAGTTTAGGATTAAAAGTTAATCACTCAATTCACTTGATCACCTTAAATAATCTTATGACAAATCTAGAGTTCAACGTTTAAATTATTCAAGTGTGAGACCCTTTATTGAATGCCCATACAAACCGTCTGATGTCGCTTTATTTCTTATAAGAGACGAGAAAGTACAAAGAGATTTCCTGGTGTGATTCCCATTGGTCACTGGTGCAGGATCGTGGATATGATACGTATAGTCTTTCGGATGTAACGAAGAACGTTCCGTGTACGCTATGGCGTGCACGTAAAATAACCCTTGGCGGTTGAAATTTGATATAAGAGTAGGTATGTGCAAAATGCCCCTAACTGCTTGACATATGTCGGTCTTAATTAACAGATAGATGCTCTAGATTTCTGCTCTAGATGTATTTGTTGATATCTTGCAACCCGTTTTTTTAGAAAGACGATGTAGGTATTTCTGAATGTGGGCAATGCAGTTTATAGATCTCAAGTTCTGCAAGTATAAAATTCCTCCGTCAAGGACGATTATTTTTGTGTAGGAACGATGACCTTAAATATACGCTTATATCACGCTTTGTGTAAATCTGAAATGACGAGGACGCGTCCACTGTTTGTCCACTGAATGACCGAATAACCTTTTTTTTCAGTGGCAAAAATGGCTGCTTTGAGTACGAAATCGGGATGTTGATTCCAATAAGATATAAAGAGGATGATTTCCAATACACTTATGTTATATGTAAAACTTCAGAATTAGAATTTGAGTATGAGAAACATGGATATAGAACATTCAACATACCTCAAGATTTGAAAAAAGAAATAAAAGGTACATGTAAACCCTTAATGTTTTAGTTCCATTTAATAAGCACCAGTGACTTTGAAAGGGTTGATTTTTAACGACATGAAATGAAATGAAATGTGGTTTATATGTCACGTCAGCTCCAACCGGGCTATATTGCGCCAAGCATATGGTGATTTATGCGGAAGAAGCTAAATATATATCACAGACAAGTATTATATTTATAAATAAAAAAATATCACAGTATATAAAACTAAAACTCAAATAAATCTTTTATGCATTTAAATATTTAAAATACAAAAAATTAAATGATAAATTTGAATATACAATTAAAATTGATGAGAAAATCATGCCTCTTTTAACAAGTCTTGTGTGTTACAATTTAAACCCGGTTGGGCAAATAGATGAAGTGTGAATGGCAACGGTGATATTTCTTGAGATAATTGAACCCAATCAGAATGTGCTTAACTGTAGCAATACGACAGTGTTCACATTCTGGCTCTCGCTTTAATATGAAAATGTGAGTTTAAAAACGTATGACCAATGCGAGAGCGACACAAAACAATCTCAACCCCATGTTGGTTCTATAGGAGCTATGCTCATCTCCTAAGATAGGCTTAATGTGATGAAGTTTGTTTGTGCCGGCAAGATCCCAAAACCGTTGCCAGCGGTCATATATAAAAAAAGTTGAAAAGTAATATAGCTGAAAAGTAAAAGGAATTGTAATATGGAAAGATCTAATACAGACTTGACAGCCAAGAGCCTGCTTGATCATTCTCATTATGACTGTGTGAATATCTGCTACGAATGATTGCTTGAGCTATTCATTGTTTATTGCCTCTAAAGAGGACAGTGCATATGGAAGCAGCAGGTAGAAGTCTGACAGACATGATAAAAGATGCCGTAACGGTAGCCGAAGCTACACGATCACCATCTTTGGTGCCATCGGTGTAAATGGGAGCAAAAACACCATATTTAGACCTCAACTCTCGAAAGTGAGACTGAAACACCGTGGAACTAGTATCCTCTTTGGTTTTTGTTAGATCTAAATCGATCTTAGAGGGCGATATAGTCCATGATCCAGCGTGGAGTTCTTAAGAAAGGGGTATTCGCAATACTATCATGATTACAGAAGAGTGGAATAACGTTAGTTGTCAGCAAATACATATGTTTTTAATACGCTCTAAATATGGTGTTATATGACAGTGCCAGTTCATCACGTTTGTCGTGCAATGAGGGTTCATGTGCCTCGAGGTATAAACTGTGCATTGGAGGTGTTCGGAATGCTCTGTATGGTGTCAATTTCTTTAAGAAAAGACTCCCATAATCGAGTGTTAATCTTATTAACGCTCGATATAATCTGAGCAAGATCTTGCGGTCTGCTCCTAGGCCAGTGTTTGATAAGACTCCCAATAATCTGAGGGCTTTCGGGCATTTTTTCTTGATTGTTTTATATGAGGGATAAATGATAATTTATTATCAAATATCAAACCCTTAAATTTCGTTTCATCTACAACTGGAATGGGACTACCATCTAATGTAAGCTTCTGATCAGCATGTAAACCTCTTCATAAATAGAAATTCATTGTCAGTTGTCCATTGTTGAATAGAATTCAAGCAAAGCTGCAACTGACGTTTGATTGTTTGTATACATGTCAATCCATAACACATCTGAAAGTTGTCAACATAAAGACAGCCGTTGACGCCACGCTTAAGGCATGTCGATATCGTATTGATGTTGATAGAAAATAAGTTTGGGCGATAATATGCTACCCTGAGGAACTCCCATTTCCCGGGGAAAGGATCAGAGAAAATTAATCCCAAACGTACCTTAAACGAACTATCTTCTAAAATGTTTTTAATGAAGAAAGGAAAGCGACCCTGCACAGGTTATGCAGGTCGCGCATGATATTATATTTTCATATGATATCATAAGCTTTCTCCAGATCAAAAAATATAGCAACTACATGTTTTGTTTGAATGAAAGCATCCCTGAAAAACGTTTCAAATCTAATAACGAGCAATCTTACCTCGGTTCTGCAAATGCAGCTAGTTAACGCGATCGCGATGCGATCGGACGATAATTGGTAGGATTCATAGAACCTTTACCAGTTTTAGGGGTGGGAATTATTGTGGCTTCATGCCACGAAGGAGAATTCCCATCAATCCGAATCCGGTTTTAAAGATCTAGTAATACTAAGAGTTTAGACAAAGATAAATGTTTTAAAATCTGGTAGTGAATTTCATTTGTACCAGTTGCAATATCCTGAGCTCGCTTAAGATAGAAAATTTGTCATTATAAGATTCATTATTGCGGGACCTCGAAGTTAAGTCGCCTTTTCTCCTGTTGATGTTTAATACCCCGACAAGGCATCACAGGAGATATTGGATGATGAATTGAATGAGAAAATACTGACCAGAGAATTATCGATATCAGAAACATTTAGATGGTTAACTGATAATGCACTACTTTTACCTTTTATTCTACGAATCCTATTCCATACCGATTTGGGGGTTGGCCGGCCGAATGGTCTGTCATTGAGTCAAACAACGTGGTTTCGAATCCCCGCTTGAATGAGACAAGGGGTAGGGTTACCTGTCCAACCCCGATTTTCTCCGGGTCCTCCGGTTTCCTCCTACTGCTAAAGACCCCTACGCGCATGCGATTTATTAAAATAAAATTAACCCATGTGGTAGTCTCGAAATGGCCTAGTTTGTGTGGTGTGGATGTTTCTCTCTCTCTCTCTCTCTCTTCTCGCATGCGATTTATTAAAATAAAATTAACCCATGTGGTAGTCTCGAAATAGCCTAGTTTGTGTGGTGTGGATGTTTCTCTCTCTCTCTCTCCCCTCTCTCTCTCTCTCTCTGTGCCATGATGACTTCTTTGCTTGGCGTATAGTTCTACGGGCCTTTGCCCAAATCATTTGGTATGCTGCAATATTCTCAAAGAAAAGATGATTCCCAGGGCGTCTTAAAATACGACCACTCTCTTTAAGAGCGGATTTGCAATCGTTATTATACAATGGTTTATTGAAACGTTTTGGCTTAGACGTAGTCTTTGGAATCGCCTGCCCAGCTATATTTTGAAGAATTGAAGTGAATAAGGCCTTGGGCTCACCTGCATCTTCAATCTCCTTTGCATCAAAAGAGAGGAGACACAAAGAATCAAATAGAGTCCAGTCAGCCTTATGTAACTACCATCTCTGCGGTCAACCGTAGAGGATCTATTGTTAGCTATCGAGATCGGAAAGTGATCACTACCAAACAGATTTTCATTTACTCCCCATGTAAAATCATGAAACAGGAGCGGAGAGGAAATGGTTAGATCAAGAGAAGAAACAGAAGCTGTGGCAGGATGTAGATAAGTAGGCGAGTCGTCATTTAACAAACACAAATTATTAATGTTAATAAAGTCCTCTAATTGTTTACCTCTGTTGTTATGATCCGGACTACCCTAACGTGAATGATGACCATTGAAATCTCCCGTTATTATAAACGGGAGAGGAAGTTGTGTAAAAAGGTCATCAAGATCTCTTGGGCTCAGATGCAAACTTGGTGGAAGATATACAGAGCAAAGTGGGAATATGTAGAGTCACTCTAACTGCAAGTGCATGCAAAGGCGAGTTGGGGCGACTTTTATGGTTCCGGTTTCGAGAAATGTTTATGGAGAAATGTTTTGCAAGATTTTTATTTGGGGATTTGTATTTGAAAATATGTTGTTCCAGATTTGTTTTTCGTTGTTTGTCGCTCGTGAAACTACAATTAAATTTTATTTTTGTATTAAACTACTATTACATTTAAAAAAAGAAAATACAATTTAGAAATATATTTTGACAAATGTCTGATTTGTAAAACAGATATTGATTTTAAGATACAAATGCTAATTTTAGTGTACAAATGTCGAAATACGACATCAAATGAAGAAATAAGAATTGAGGACTATGAATTACGAACTAAGAATTAACAATACTGAACAAAGAGGGGTGTTTAAAGTCAAAAAACGATTTTAATAAGCATTTCTCGATATCTGTTAATATACTGCTGGAAAGTATGTTTATTGCTTGCTACTAAATGTAAATTAATTTCTGGCACATTTAAATTTACATACCTTAAAAAAGGAATAAATTTGAATGGCACTAACCTGTATTAAATGAGGTTATGGGATGCATACCGTTAAACACATCCAAATACATTTTCGAAATTGTAAATTATTTCCGGAAATATTCATATTTACTTACCTTGTTAAACAGATATAATTTAGATCGCCTGAACTCTATTTAGTGAGGGCGAGGGGAGTATTTAAAGTCCAAATACGGATCATAATACGAAATTCCAGTGATCGTGTAATGCTTCATTGGAAAATATTTGTCTGTCGCTTTTTGAATATACGAATATTAGCTATTTACTGGCACATTCATGATTACATGATTTAGAAGAAATAAAATCGTTTTTCGTTTGTATAAAGAAATATGTCGCTATCAGAAATTAACTTAATTACTAAATATAGACTACTTTCAATTTATTTTATTTAATGCCAGATCGGATTAACAAATATATATAGAAACATGACACAACCGTGATTTCACTAAATTCGCGGTCATCGAGAATTTTTTCTTATTGTATGCTTGCTCCATTCCCGTTTATTGTATGGTAACTTAGTGTATGCCAGGTTGATTTCGACTCATGTCGTCAGAATGTTAAAGGAGCTAAATCGCTAATATTTAGGACCTAGAAATTGACACAAATGGGTCGCAACGCATATAATATTGTAATGTGAATGTATATAAACTGATTTACATTCAACTGTTTCTGTTTTTACTGTAATTTCTAATAAGTTATGTTCGGCGAAATACGCCAGAAGTCTCAATTGAATGGCAATCTTTAGCGTCTGGTTATTCTAGTCTACACCGATGATATTTATTGCGCATGCGCTCCAGATAAGTATATAGCGTCACAATTTGACATGACTTGTGGAATATGTCTAGCCGCGTTCTTTGAGTCCTTTGTTCCAAATGGCGCTGAAACGCATTATGGTACACGATTCGTGTACCAATGGTAAAATGTTTATTTTGTCTTGAATAGTGGATATCAGAAGCCCATATTTTCCCTATAAGATCACAAGACCAATGTTGATTTCAATTGACAAATAATTCGTGTTTTTAATGTCGAAGATTTTTGATGACATTGAGTTAGAGACTTAGCTACTTTAAGGTTCAATGAATTTTGAGAATTGTTTTGGGAGAAATGTTTTGCAGGATTTGTATTTGGAGATTTGTGGCAGCTTGTTGTTGTTAGAGATATGGTTTTCGTTATATGTCTATGAAGAAATGTAAATGTAGGCTATGTTTTGATTTTGTAAAATAAATTTTATCTTTAAATTAAAATACAATTAAATTTTATCTTTAAATTAAAATACAATTAAATTTTATCTTTAAATCAAAATTCAATTAAATTTTATCTTTAAATTAAAATACAATTAAATTTTATCTTTAAAATAAAATACAATTAAATTTTTATTTAAATTAAAAAACAATTAAATTTTATCTTTAAATTAAAATACAATTGAATTTTACCTTTAAATTAAAATTAAATTTTATCTTTAAATTAAAATACAATTGAATTTACCTTTAAATTAAAATACAATTTAATTTTATCTTTAAATTAAAAAACAATTAAATTTTATCTTTAAATTAAAAAACAATTAAATGTTATCTTTAAATTGAAATACAAGTAAATTTAATCTTTAAATTAAAATACAATTAAATTTTAAAAAGAAATACATTCTACAAATCTGATATTACAAATGTCTGATTTGTAAAACAAATATTGATTTTAAAATACAAATTTTAATTTTAGTGTACAAATGTCGAAATACGACAGTAAATGAAATGAAATGAAATGAAATGAAATGAAATGGGGTTTAACGTTCCAGAGTGTGCCACACAATGTGTTATGAGGGAAATTTTGCCCGGACAGCGGCACTACGGCCAACTCTTATATCGAATTCCAACTGTCAAGGGATCTTTTACGTGCACGGGACTTACGACAACAAATGAAAAAATAAGAATTAAGGACTATGAATGACGAACTGAGAATTAAGAACACTGTTTGGTCTTCCATATGAACAGGCATGATTGAAAATCATATCTTTGTCGGTTTCTTGTAAACTTAGCCTTAAAATCGACTCACACAGAAAAAAAGCTGTAATCACCATTTTTCAAACGCTAAGCATGTATAGGGCACACATACCTTCTAAGAGCATGTTCTGCATACTTAATAATTATGGATCACTATCAGACCACGAAGAGAGGGGGTGCCATTAATTTATGATTCGCCATCACCTCATTGGTTCAATTGGAGATAACATACTACTGGCTTGTACAATTTCAATAGACATTGTGAAATCAGTTTAATAGATAACAATCTAAAGAACCGAGATTGTATCCCATATTACCAGTTTGAAAAGAAAATATTTATCATAGAAATCGTATGTCATTATGGAGTTTACTGTGATTGCATTATTTTAATTCGATTTCTATTTAACAGGTAACTGGCACCAGTATGATGGATTTTACTGCCAGAAAAATCAACAGGGCTTCTGGGAAAAGTCTACAAACAAATTGCGCAGGAAAAAAAACATTTCTGAAGTAGAAAAAGCTATTAAGTATTTTGCTTCTCCAGTTTTAACACAAGCATTGGGACTTGTTAAAGATGAAGATGCGATTTTATTGAAAGAAATTGGCGAAAAGATTTTGATGATTTTACTCATGGCGGATAATGATAATACCTTATCGAAGGTACACATCTGAATTTTACACTTAAACGTTATGTTTTTAGTTTATTATTATACGTTTAGTGCATATCTTGTACTATAACCTTTTGTAGCATAGGATACTGTTGACGCTTGGATTAATGTTTTTGACATTTGTTATGACATTTGATTGGAATGTTTGGTCACTGACTATTACGTCTTATGTGAGCAGAGCATTAGCAAGCGCTTAGTATCCCCTTCCAATGTCCAGTTTCGGTGAAACTTAAAATATGTATTAAAGATCAAGAAAGACTGGATGAGTCCAATTTTGGTGGACATTGAATCATGACTAACTGTACTATTGCCCAAGTTCATTTTGCTTTAGCAAAATGTGAAACATGTACGAAGTTTATACCCCTCCCCTTGCCCCCAGATGCCACAATGTACGATTTTGGTGCACATCGAACCTCCCGATAATCTCTGATCCCGATAAAGGTTATTTTCGCAAATGTTTGGGGTCATGCGAGGACGGACTCTATCGATAATCCTTTTTAAGGTCATGTGCCCTTAGCTGAAAACCCTCTATATTCGAAAGAGGCTAGATAAAGTTTTTAACATAATATGTATTTCAAGAACCCTATCGATAACCAGCGTCCCACAGTTTCTGTAGAATAAAATGTATGTTAAGCACTCAAATTTTGTGTAAGATTATATTCATTAAAATTTATATATTTTTCGTCGATTTTGGTATCTTTTGTTGCCTGGGAACATAGTTTTCTATCTTTCAGTGCGTTGATAATTTGATTATGAATCGGATAATTGAAAATCTTCAAAAATCTACTAATACTGAGACCAATAACATACCTGTAATGCTGGCACTTCTTGCTATGAAGCTATCCAACAAATATAAAATAACTCTATTACCGAAGCAGAGGCAAGTGATTCACCAATGCCTGTTGGTTGCTGTTGACAGCAAGGCAAAGAAATGTTCGACTGTAGATGTCATTAAAAAATTCCACGATACAAAGTAAGTGGTGTTTGCATACCTGCATACATATCTAGATTGCTAGGAAAATATCTCACTTGGACATGCTTTAATTTGTATACGCAACATATGATTGTGCTTAATAGAACAGCGCAAATTTATATTGGACGGTCACATCAACTGCAAAGTTGATATCGCTGATATCTGAACACAAAACTTCTATAAATGAAAATATTTGTCACAAACTGATCAAGGTCCCATTTGTACAGATTATGCTTATTAGTTAGTTAACATTGTTAGTAATCACGCTGGTGTCAAAATGATATGCACGATAATTTGTTAATTTTATGTATTCGATATTTATTATAAATAGTGGACCGTTTTAAAACTCGCTCGTATGCTTTAATGCAAAATTGTCATCACTAAAATACATAAGTTCATTCGTCAACGCTATGGAATAATAATAAATAAATAAATCCAGGTACGAACAACCCAATGCATTAGACAAGCCCTAAAAAGGATATAGGCAAAATAGTGTATTCAGCAAATGGACTCTTCACAGTGTACAACAGCATTCACAAGGGGGACCAAACCCCTTGACCACTATACGAAAGAGCATTGCTACCTAATGTTTGTGTCAGGTTATCATGAATTTACTTTGGCGTAAAAGTTTTCATGTGAAGATGGCTTTGCATTGGACATTGTAAGTGTTTTTGCAGAGCTATGTTTGTGAAATGCTATAGTGTTACATATTGCTGAAACAGTCTTTTCATTTGGTGATACAAACACCATAATTGATACACACGTGCTTCAGAACCAACCCTATTAGAAAAGTATCCACTTGGATATACAAAATGGTCGCCATGTTTCAAGATGGCCGCCATTCGAAGCAACTTTTAAACGGTGATTGAACTATATTCTGATTGAGCTATCCCCATTTGATGGTCTATACATCCAAATATATGTTTTTATAATTCTGCATTTAGAAAATCAAAATTTCTGAATATTATGGGATTGCAATTTGCCGATATATTTCGTAATGTTGACTTCGATTCCTTGTCTTACTAACAACATGCAAAAACAAACTGATTAACCTGTATGTTGTTGAGGAGTCGGGAAAGGACTTGTTGTTGATTTAAGCTTCGATTGGTTCTTCTTTTAGTTCTCACATTTGCAAGCACACAGCTGTGAACACTTCAGGCTGAAGCGATTGCATTTGCATAGTCCACAGCATTCCGTCCTGTCCCCGCATTTTGCTAACTGGTCACAATTCTGAGCAAGGGGTGAACGCGCCAGACCTCGCCATCTGTTGCAAGCCTAGGTGGCAGAGCATTCAATGTGCATTTTGCACACTGATGCGTGGTCCCATAAACAGGCAGTTTGGAAGGCTGACCATTTCACATGCTGAACTAGGGATGCGCTTGGCGGTGGAATAGCATCATAAGACCTTTGCTTCAGAGCAAACAAGTCCAGCTATGCCTGTAGTGTTGTGGTTGTCATACATTGTGGGACAAACTTCTCAAGAATGTTGAGGTCTGCTAGTCGAGTATTGACTGACCTTTATAAAGAACGAGCTCACCTCAGGACAAACCTCCCATGCTTGTCTTACAGCTTTCTTGCCTCCACCACGAAAAGCTGACACAGCGTCATAGGCACACAACATGCTACTGGATTTCTCTGGGCCACGATTCACCACATCATGACTTGGCAACCACTTAATGCACTGACCCTGGCCAAATTCTACCCAAATCTGTGGCTTATATTTTGTTGCTTGTATCAGTGCCTTTCTTTCTCTTCGTTTGTTAAGTAGGGGCATGTCAGTTATCTGTTCCATCTTTTCTAGGTGTAGATTTCATAGCACCTGTGATGATGCAAAGAGCCTTGTTTTGCATTGTGTCAAGAATCTTTTGGTGTGTCTTGGCTGAATTCTTCCATGAGCTTGGTTCGTGCTCCAGGGGTGGTCTTACCATCTCCTGATAGACAGTTGTGGGGGGTCTTTTCATTTGTACCACACTACATTCCAGCCAATTGGCGTATGATGTTCGGTTTATTGGTCAGGTTTGTTGGTCTTTGAATTTCAGGAGATTTCTTCCACAACCAACTTGTCGGCTTTCATTTTGACAGAGAAAGTAAACAGTGGCTGTTGTTTTCTCTCTGTTGACTGTCGCACACCATTTGGTGGCCTACTCAGAGCAATCTGCATCCTGCATACAGCCGTTGTTACAAACTTCTCTGGCAGCATGTACACCGTCTGGGTAGCTCTGGCACATGTTTGTTGATGAAGAGGAAGAACAGGATTGGTGAAAGTACTCCCCCTTCTGGGAATTCTTGTCGAAGTAGCACTTTCTGGCCACAGTGTCTGTCCACTAACACTCAGACTTGTCAGTTGTGCAGATATGTCTTGGTCCACCGGTACATGTAGCCCGTCTTTTCACACTTTGTCTAAGTGTCTGTGAAGACAGGGAGTGTGGTCTGCTTGGCTTGAAAGGCGTCATTTGTATCTTTTTATTTGGGCATTTGTCTGACCTCCGACACTATGGCATCGATCATGCTTATGTGGATCTAACATATTTTCGTCGGTCTCGTTCCAAGATAAATTGACCAATGAGAACAAAACTTTTACTGATGCATAGATCTCACATAACTTTTATCATGACGATTTCATGCAAAATGTATCCGCTCCTACATGATATTCTACTAAACGGGTTGAACAATCGGTAGGAAAATACCGTTGAATTTCGCCGTTATTTCCAAATGGCACCCGTTCAAACGTAAGACTTTGTTGGAAGTTTCCGTGGCCATATCTCCGAAGTTATTCAATGGATTCCAACTAAATCTTACATGAATATAATAGACTTGATTGTAATTGTATACTTTCATTACACCAAGTTGAACAAGTTCTGCATGTTAGGTTATTACTGGTAAGACTATTTCCATAGTTCGTGTTATTGGTCTTATTAACCCTTGTGGGTTCACGTTGTGAGACTCACATAGCAGGTATCTTGGGGTCTATATGGACCCCAGTTATAATTCAAGTTTTTACATACAAATATATTTGAATTAAAAGGCAACGTTGCTTTTTATTTGCATTCATATTTGACATCTGAAAATCAACTAAATTATCATCAAAAAACATTTTAGGGGCATATGGAAAACATTTAATAATTCTCACCAAATTGCTACTTTGTGTACTATGTGATAAAGAGGTTAAATGGCAATTCACGCTTGATACAAAAATCATTCAATATTTGGAATTCATCATTTAATTTTTGGTATTTGTAACATGCAGATGCTAAAAGAGGGAATACTCTGACATACGCAATATGGTATCAGGCAGCAAACACATTGGCGAAATCACTACTGTGAGTTATAAGTTAGGGGTCCGGTTGGATCCCTTGTTCCCTTCAAGTGTTGGGCCTGATTTGCATGTAATATAACTCTGCATGTGGGAAGCAGATGAATACCGATCTCTTTGCTACGTGTAAAATTGTATAGGAGACAAAGTCACTAAATTTCAGAAAGTTGTACCCAGTAGTTATTACAAAACACTCTAAAACATGTGCATGGGGTCTACGGAGACCCCACGTGAACCGACGAGGGTTAAGTATACCATGGTTGCCTTAGCTGCTGTGGGCGTCTGTTTTGTTGCCGGTTAACCTACCTTTAAAATCTGTAAAATGAAAAATCCTTTGGAAATTTAAAAACAAAACAATTGTTGCTGTTTGCTGCTGGCATCCCGGTCTGTTTATCTGATAGAATTATATAAATATAACTGCTTGAAACATATGTCAATTGTAAATGTTGGAATTGTTTTGCAAAGTTTTCTTTTGACTTCTAAAACATGTGAAAACAGTTTTTTTTTAATATCAGGGTGGACTGAAAAGTTCTACGCCTAAAAAGGGTAGATTAATTGGGTTTTAGTCATCGAGTACCTGCAACTAAAAGGACTAACCCCAACACAGATACATATTGACATGGTATCCGCGTTAGGGGATGATGCCCCTTCCATTTCCACAGGCAAAGATGGACTGTAGAATTTAAGCTTGGCATCGACGATGAATTGCGTCCTGGTATGCCATCAAGAGCAACCGATCAAGAAAACATTACCGGGGTGCATGGAATGGTGATAGCTGATTGACCTCTCGATATATTGCCAGTGTTGTGCGAATCTCTTACGAAAGGATTGAGCACGTTGTCGAAAACGGGTTAGTAATGACAGGAGTTTCTGTAAGATGTGTGTCGAACAGGACGTTAATCCCATCTTGCTTTGTCTGCGTTATGGAATGATATGAAATGCTGCTCCAACTGGACTAATGAAGGTGGACATACGCCAAAGATTGTATTATTGGGGAGGAAATGTTGCCAGAACAGCGGCTTTAAGGTCTAATTTTTTACCGAATTCCGTCTGCCATGGGATCTTTTACATGCAGGTTAATGTGTACACGGGACCTCGGGGTTTCGTTATTCGTCGCATCCGAATGATTATACATTGCATTGCCCTTTGCCAGCTCGTCAGACCATGGGAAACCACGGCGGGAAAATCCGATAAATCCGACCACCACGGTACCTGATTCTAAACAACGATACCTACAAACAGCATTTCAATTTGATAAGAATCAATATGAAGAGTTCTTACATGTTATTTTGTTTTTAGGGTTATTGCTCAGTCCATATTAGACTTTATATTAAGTCCACAGAATTCTGAAAAAGATTCTTCCT